GCAGTGAAGCCATAGGAAGGAACACCACAGAATCACTAAAAAACAGAATCTAAAAGAACATTTCATCATGGAGGGAAAAATTCAGAATATATGAAGCTTTGAAAACAGGTAGTAAGGGAAAAGGGCAGTAAACGAATCCTTGTAATACGGACGAGAAACAAAAGGTAAATGGGAAAGGGGTGGCACCTGAGGGCACTTCCACAGTCTATTTTCCACTCTCTTCACTGCCTGCGTGTGCTTGCTGGTGAGCACGTGACCGCCATTAAAAACTCGTTTGGGCAACAGTGGGGCACCAGGAGGGAGCAGAGAAAAATGACCACAAAAGTGAGCAAGGTCCTCCTTGGCAAAGACGTTTGGACTTGCACCTGTCAAAACAGCTACTGAGTCTCCTGCCCGCCTGGGTGGAGCGGCTCCGGATGTCCTGTCTAACCCCCAGGAGTCCACATTTGCAATTCCTAGATTCGCGGGGCAGTCGACAACCAGCTGCTGTCACTGCACCTGTGAGACTGGACTGGTGTCCTTCTCCAAGGCCTCATCCCTGCTGTCCCCGTGCACCACACACACTCGCTGCCCCCTGAGGCAGAGAGGCCAGCGGCTCTCATTTTCACGCATTTCACACGGGAAGCCCACACCAGGCCTCCCCAGCAGCAGTCACTGGGACAGCTCCCTGCACACAGTGACACCCCAGAACCGAATGGGGGGGGCAGTGAAGGCAGAGGGAGGAACCAGGGCCTGGAAATCAACACACGGGCTCGCTCCTAAGCCGGGCCACCAACCAGCTGTGACCACTGGCCTTCTCTGAGCCTGCATTTCCTATTCTATAAAATGAGAGTTTTGGATGACCTGTGAGGTCTACATTGGCCCTAAAATTCCTGACTACATAATCTCCCCAATGTCTCGCCTCCGAAGAAATACCTGGACCACAGGGAGAAGATGGCCCAAAGTGCCTGGAAACCAGTGGGTCTTCCCAAACAGTTTCTGTTTTACAGTAACTCTCACTGTACGAGTCTGGACCCGCAAAACAATCCAGGTGCCTCCTCCACGGGCCCGTTGGGGATGTCACTCTGCATAAAAGCTTCTCAAAGTACTCACTTGGTCCCGGAAATGCACCCCTCACATTTGCTCTACACTCATTCTGAGTTCTCATACAGGGGGTCCAATCATGCCAGTTTGGCCAGGACTGAGAGGTCCCCCCAGATGAGACTTGCTCTGCCAAACCCAAGACAGTCCGTGGCAAACCAGGTCAGTTGGCTTCTCTTTCACCACATCTCTGCTTGCTGCTCCCAAAACACCCCCTACACTTCCCCTCAACACAAAATGCAGCACAGCTTTCTGACCTGTCCAGGCGTTGCTGCTCAGATCGACCCCCCCCCAGACCACCCACACTGGCACCTGGGGCGCCGCCAGGACACCTCTGTCCTCAGGAAGAGTGCCTTCATTTACCACATCCCAGTGGGTGCTTTTAGACTGGCAGTGTTTTTTGTAATCCATAAAAGAAAAAAAACACGCACAAAGAAATTTTTGTAAGCAACAAAAACCATATAAAACAACTTACCTCACATGCTTCTGAAGGCCAAGTACATTTTCGTAGTGAAGTTGTAAGTATCCAAAAATATCCAAAAAGGAGGTCTCAATTCACACAAATCAGATAGTGCAGTGGACAAGAACTGTTAACAGACCCGCACTGGTCATTTTCCCTTGTGGACATGGGCCTAAGTTCAGGCATTAACCACATGGGACTCTTGGCTGGGGAGAATGGCTGAGACCCTGCGGATACGGACAGGACATGGGCTGTCAGAGAGGCAAGTCCACCTCCGAAGACCAGGAGGGGCCACGGTCACAGATTCTGGAGACCTATGGGTCCGAGCGGTTCTGTCTGCCTGTCTACCAGGCTGCAGAGTAACTTGTCACAGAACAAGGTCCTCTCATCCTCGCATGTGCCCTAGCTTTGGGGACATCACAGAGATCCCGGAAGTGGGGAGAGCACCAACCAAAATAAAGATAAAGAAAAAACACAGAAAGAAGTCAGAGGGGAGAAAAACATCTAACCTTTGCAGGAACAAAGGTGAAAACGACACCAACATTTTCCTCTGAAGGCACTCCAACAAGAAGAGAGGAGAGCAAAATATTTATAGTGTTTAGAGAAAAAAAATCCCAACCTAGAATTCTGTATCCAGTGAAATTATCCTTCAAAAGTGAATAAGAAATACTTCCTCACACAAAAATGGTGGAATTTGTTTCCAGTAGACGTACCTTGCAACAAATGATTTTTAAAAGGTCTTAAAAGAGAAGGAAAAAAAATATTTTTGAATCAACAAAAAAATAGTGAACAGCAAAGAAGGAATAAGTAAAGGTAAAATTAAAATGTTTCTTATTCTTCATTGACCTAATCAATAACAGTCTGCTCAAAATAAAAGCAACAATGTACTGATGATTATTTAAATGAGACGAATGTCACTAATCATAAAAGTGACAGGAGAGGAATTCAGGATCTTTTGCTGCAAGGAGGAATCAGGAATATATTATTAACAGGTACTGCACTACCACGAAGTGGTACAGTGCCATCTGAGAGCAGACTCGGGTTAGTACGGTATGGCAAATTCTAGAGCAACCTGAAAAATAAGCACAGGATAAGATGCTGCACAGTATACGTCAGTAGGGAATTGCAAACTAAAACAATGACATACTCCTATGCACCTATTAGAATGGCCCAAATCCAAAATACGGACACCACCAAACGTTGGAAAGGCTGTGAAGCAACAGGAACTCATTCATTGCTGATGGAAATGCAAAATGGTAGAGCCGCTTCAGGAAAACAGACGGCAGTTTCATACAAAAATAAATACACTCTCACCTACAGTCCAGAAATTGCCCTCCGTGGTATTTACTCAAAGGATTTGACAACTTACGTCCACACAAAAGCCTAAATGCAAATGCGTGTGGCATCATGATTCATACTGGCAAAACCCAGAATCAATTAGGATGCCCTTCAGTGGGTGACTGAAGAAATAAACTGTGGTGCACCCGGACCATGGAATATTATTCGGCACCAAAAAGAAATGACCTATAAAGCCAATAAAAGACACAGATAACCCTGGCAGGTGTAGCTCAGTTGGCTGGAGCTTGGTCCCATAATGGAGAGGCTGTGGGTTCATTCCCAGTCCGGGTCCATAGGAAGGTAACCAATCAATGCTTTTCTCTCATATTGATGTTTCTCTCTCTCCCTTCCCCGCCCTCCAAAAGCAATGAAAAAACGTCCTCAGATGAGGATTAAAAAAAAAGGACATGGATAAACTTTAAATGCATATCACTAAATGAAGGAAGTCAATCTGAAAAAGCTACATACTGTATGACTCCAACTCTGTGATGTTCCAGAAAAGGTAAAACTACAGAGATGGTAAAAAAGGTCAGAGATGAGCAAGGGTTGGGAGAGGAAGGGACGAGGAGACAAAGCTGAGGCTTGTCTGCGGCTGCGAATCCGTTCTGTGCATTCTAACGGTAGACACACATCATCACACACCCTGTGTCAAACGGACCGCACAACACGAAGGGTGAACCCTGACGTGAACGGTGGACGTCGGGTGACAAGGACGGTTAGCGCAGGTCCACCAGCCGTAATGAATGCACTGACCGGTGGAGGGTGTAGATGGTGGGAGAAGGTGTGTGTGTGTGTGTGTGTGTGTGTGTGTGTGTGTGTGTGTGTGTGTAGGGGGGACGTATGGGAAATCTCTGTACCTTCCTCTGGACATTGTTGTAAACATAAAACTGCTCAAAAATAAAGTCTGTTTTTTAAAAATGGCTTTATAAAAGGGCATCCGAACGTATCTTTGAGGACAGGGGGAGAGAAGGTGATAGGATTTCAGATACAAACGGGGGCTTCTAGGATTCTGGTTCATTCTTAATGCGAAGGGCAGACGCACAGAAGAATCTTTGACGACTTTCCCAACTCACGGGACGGAGCGCCCCTCATGCTGACCTTGGAAGGAATATTTGTTGAGGCAACAGCTTCTCCTTACTGCTCAAGCCTCATTTTGAGTTGTGTTTTCTGTTCCTCAGAGTTACAATCACCCCAACTGATACAGACTCTTAGCTGGAATGCAGTACAACTAACTGGGGGTCGATTTAGCACGAGCCACCTTAGGAACTATCCTGTTTTGTCCAACCCAATCACTAAAACCTTAGAATATTAATTATTCCGAGAACAAAGATTTGTTCAGAAAGAAGAGACCCGCATCGAAACAGCTCAGTGCTTTTCCAGAGTGAGAAGGCAACTTCCTTAGAAACACTCCAATGAAGCTTGCGTGACACCGAGAATAGTCAGCGTTTGGTTAGGTTTCTTGCATCTCCAAACCACCAGACAGACAAGGAGTCGCAGAGAAGGAGCCCAGGGTGGACCCTTGCCCTCAGCAGGGATCAGCTTAATCTGGCCGGAAGATCACACATTTCCCATTGGAGCGCAAGCTGAGGTCAGACCACAGGCTGAATTCGTTACCATGGGGAGTTCTTGAAAGGAGAGCAAACAAGGAAATGAGATTTAGTTCAGCTCAGGCGTGGCTGCTGCTCGTTTGGCCAGAGGGAGAAAGAAAGCACAGTGGTTTCCCCACAGACAAGTCCTGTACTGGAGATGGAGCCCTACCTGCTGAGGAACCAACACCCACCCCACCTGCCCGCAGGTATGAAGAAATGGGCAGGCGAGAGAAAGGGGCCAGGAGAGGGACCTGCGCTTGCACACACCGTTTACCGTGTCTACGAGAGGCAGACCCAGCTAAGCGTGGTCGGGTCCCATTAGGAAAAGGGACTGACCATCCTTGGTTCCCAGACACCAAAGCGTGGTCCTCCCCCAACCAGCCACCCCACACAGGTGCCATCTTGGCCACAAGAGGAACAGGTTAAAAAGGAAAAGGTTTGCTCAAGGCAACTGCACCCCCATGTACCCCAGGCCAGCTTCACTCTGAAGCTAATTCTTGACGCTGGTTGTATGGACAGAGACTCCCCGTTACCTAAGGTCCAACAAGAGACGGTTCGCAGGAGCGGGGCGCTGCCGTAGAGGGCGTGCATGTACATGAGGTGCACCATCAGCTCGGCCAGGCACCAGCAGCAGAAGAGGCGGCCCAGCCCCCGGGCAAGGACGGAAATGCTGATCTTCAGTGAGCAAGGCTCCTGCTGCTGCATCTACGGTGGAAACACAGCAAGTCACCAGACTGCACCTTTGTGATCTTTCAAATCATCGCCGACGCAACGGTTTTAATAAACTGTCCACAAATACAATCGCTGTACCTACTGAAAGAAGGTTGGCTTAGTTTGCCTTGGGAGCATTCTGTGTTCATGGGTAGAAACATCACACCCGAGCCTGCGACTCTGTCCCTGAGTAGGAGTGCGGTGCGATGACAAGCCAGCCTGGTGCCAGGAGCCAAGACGGGTTCCGTGGGCCTTCACGCCAGAAACAACGCGGCACACACCCAGGACTCTGGGGTCTCTTTGTTTTCAGTGGCCCCTGCCTGTCTTCGTCCATCACCCACACACATCTGAGGCTGGTGAAAGATGGGCCAAGTCAAGAAGGGGCACAGGACAGGGAAGGGAGGGAGAATGAGAGACGGAGCCTGAGACCAAGAGAAAAATCAGGTGTGGCTATGCCACCTGGACTGAAGTCGTTTTTGAAACAAGGCGGAGTGAACAAGGACAGTATGTGGCACAAGTCTCTGGCTTAGCAGGTGGCACAGCACCACAGTTAAGAACATGGACCTTGGAGCCAAACAAAATCGAGCTCAGATTCTAGCACAAATCACACAGCTGTGTGATCCTGAGCAAGTCACTCGCCCTCTCTGAGGCTTGGTTCCCAACCACGTAAAATGACCAAGAAGTGTTGTGATGACTAAATATACAGAACAAAGTACTGAGCACAGCCCCTGGTGCATGAAAAGCACTGGGTAACTGGTAGGTAATGTCTGATAACTATGTGCCCTGCATTGCACATTCTTCACCTTAACCTTCCTCCCGGGGGCATCCCAGACTGCCAGGCACAGGGCAGAATCGGGAGACGGCTCAGAGCCAGACATCGAGGCGGCAGGGGGATCTTTCGACCGTTCATAGATACAGGCAAAAGGCTCAGCATACACTCAATGCCCATGGACAGTGCAGACCAGAAAAATCAAAAGTTCTGCCCAGGCAGCCTGGTTCTGTGGTCCCACCTCACTGCTGGCTGTTTAGGGTGCACAACACAGAAATTCTGAAATGCATAAGCATGATGGAAAACCTGAAGTGAATTCAATTCAGCCTTACACCGCTAAACAAACAAGAACAAGAGGGACTGCGGGAGCTTCCTCATCTGAGACGACGACACTCCGTCAGACCGGAGGCCACCTCGGACTGCAGAGCCCGGGCGTGCTCACGAGGGATGGGCTGCACCGGAAGCGCCAGCTGGCAGAGGCAACGGCTCGATTCCGCATTTCACAGTGAGGGTTCCAGACACCATATCAGCAAGGCCTGTGCCTGGGGAGCTTTAAGCTTTTAAGCTTCCACCGTCCCCTAACATCAAGGCGTGGGGAGCCCGTGCAGCCAGGAGGAGGGGCCAGCACTGCCCCTAGAGTCCACGGCAGACCCGCTCGCCAGGGGATTCACTGCTGTTCCACTTTGACACTCATCCCACCACTTTCTCCAACTGCTCTCTCACAGCAGGAGGCCAGACCGAGAAAGTCTGTCGGGCTCATGGCATTAGGATGATCTGCCCTTTGCCACCTGCTTAGTCAGTTACACCAGGGGCAGCTCCATGATTTCATTTTGATGTAAATTGGTCAAACTGACAGGAACTCTCTTTTTCCTTTAGCGTGTTCCACGGCCACACCAACCTGCATCGTCAGGAAACTGCAACTGCTGTGCAGGTTCGCCAGGCTGGTCACGACAGGGGAGGTGCAGGCTGGGAGGGTTGGCCGGGAAGGAGGGCCGGGCACGCCGGGGATACGGACCACCGCTAGCTGCAGTCGCAGCTGCCCCTGCAGGCATGACCCCATGCAGACTCCTTTGCAGGCATAAGCCAAGGGTGGTTTCCACTGGAGTCTGACCTCAAGTGGGCAGTGCTCTGCCAGGCCCTGCCAAGTCGACAACAAGCTGATGGACGGCGGAATCCTCGGTGCTGAGAAACCGGCCTGCCCGACATTCGTGCCTGTGTTACTTAGTTGAGGGGGAAAGGGATCAACCCAAGAGCCCACCAGTGGGAGGCTGGTTCAGTGCAGGACTCCCACCCCAGGGAGCAGAGATTACGGAGCCGTGGAAACTATTTGTGTTCAGTGAGTCTACATAGTGAAAGGCTGGACAGATGCCCCCCAGGTTTGCAACGGCAGTGGTCTTCTTTGGAAGGTAAGATTGTTAGGTTGCTTTTAACAATTGATTCTTTGTGATCGGGCAGAAAAGTAATGCAGTATTGTGAAGACTGTGGCCCTGTCCACTAGGAGGTGTTGTAGTCCATCTCTTCACCCTTCTCCTGAAGCACGCCCACTGTCAGGTCTCCAGGGGGGCCCAGCGTCCCCTAGGAGCAGGTACCCCTGCCTCTCTCTCACGCTAGCCCCATCCTTACTTCTCCTGACCTTCCCACCTCCCTCGTAGCTTCTCTTAGCTATGCACAGAGTTAGTTCCTCCCTGTTAATCACCAGCCCTTTGCAGCTCTGTAAAGCAAATTCGTTTTGACCTAATGACCATCAGCAAATGAGGACATGAGTACGAACTCAGAGTCCACGGTGCAGGCTGGAAGAGTTCCCACCAAGGCAGCGGCAAGGCTAAGACACAAAGAGGCCAAAACCATTCCAGACCAACAGTCGGGCCTTTCTCGGAGCCGGACTCTGGGAGGGAAGCAAGTCCCCCAGATAATGCTTTTGGCCCCCCAAAAGCAGTGTTGACAGAAGACAATCCTTGCACAACAGAATGTCCCATTTCTAAGTAAGCAACTCTGCATGTGGCCTGTGGGCTCCTGAGCAGAAGCCGCCCCCAAGCTCAGGTCCGCTGAAGACCAGACCCGCACCGGGGGCTGCAGCCATCACTGGGTGTGCAGCACACCCACCTGGGTGTGCAGGGAGCAGAGAAGTTGAGTGGGAGGGAAGCCCCACCAGGCAATCAGGGAATTTACCTCTATTCAGTCACTGCCCAGCTCTGGGCCATCACAGTTCCGGGTCAGTTCAGAGGCCCTCCTTTCCCTACCCAAACAGTATGCAGTCCAAAATGTCATAAACACCTATGATTAAGAAGAAACACGCCCTGGCTGGTGTGGCTCAGTGGATTGAGCACTGGCCTGTGAACCAAAGGGTCTCCGGTTCAATTCCCAGTCAAGACACATGCCCGCATTGCAGGCCAGGTCCCCAGTAGGTGGCACTCAAGAGGCAACCACACATTGATGTTTCTCTTCCTCCCTTTCTCCCTCCTTTCCCCTCCCTAAAAGTAAATAAATAAATTCTTTTTGAAAAACATTGTTAAAAAAGAAGACACGTGACATGCACTGGGGCTGGCTGGCCTCCCAGTAACAACTCACCTGCCCTCCTCAGGGCGAAGCTCCCCACGGGTTTCAGGAAGCAAAGCTGTGTCACCACTGGCCCAGAGGGGGCCTCTCTCCACAGAGCCCCCTTCTGGTCCTGGCTGCCTCCTCACGCAGGGAACAGAAGTGTCTACTCCTTAACTGCACCAGCACATACAGCAGAAGGGAACCAATCCAATTTTTCCTTCTATTTGCTTTTATCTAAGGAATGGTTACTGGTCTTCATCTTTACAGGAGTCGGATCATTATTACAGTCTATGTATATCTTCAGTCCAGTGTGCTCCCTCTTATTTAAGAGATTCAGCACTGGTGCCTCGCTGATCCAGCAGGAAGAAAAGACACGCAGGCACAGTTCGCCCGCCGAGCAGGTCTGTGTGCAAAGCAGTTCATTCGAGATACTTCCACCCTCGGGGAATGCCACCCTTGAGACCACTGGAAACTGCCATCAGCGGGAATGTAAGGCTCCACTAAAAAATGCACATTAACTCCTCTGCAAAGTGCATTTTAAAACAGATTATATTTTAAAACCTCATTTCATGCAAATTGCATAAAAAGAAATATCAAAGGCTTTTAGAGATGTTCTGATGATTAAAGATGACAGTTTCCAAAGTGGAAAGGTTCTTTTCCTACAGGCGGTAATAATACAAGTGTTTAAAGGCGCCAAACAAAAACCCTCCCAGAGCCAGCTGTTCAACTCCGCCTCCTCTGCTCCAACCCCTGCGTGTGGGTACAAGGCGTCGGTGGAGGGGTTCGGTCCAGCCAGGGGTCACAGGCCACACCCAACCAGCCACTCCCTAATCGGACCCTCGCCGGTCCTCCCGTCACCCAGACCCAGGCGGGCGGTGTACAGTGGTCTCCGCCAGAGCATCAGGGGCGGGGCCTGCAGTGGGGGTTGCTGCCCCAGGGCTGGGACCTGGTCTGGCCAGCTTGAGCCCCAGACGCACATGTCCACAAGCCTGACCACACCTTCCTCTGACTCCTGGGCGCTCACCAAGCTGGGCGCGTGACAAGGCTCACGTCTTTACTCCTTCCACCCCTCTCTGCGTTCTATGAGCCTCCCTCTGCCTCTTTATTACTCTCTGTAAAGAGGTATTAACAACAGTATCTCTCTCTCAGGGCTGTTGTGAGGAAGAAATGAGTTGGAACATGCAAAACCTGGCTCAGAACAAGTGCTCAGTTAGTATTATTTATTACAACTTCTATTATCCTAGACAGATGTTGCAAGCCGAGCCCACCGCACACCCTTCGAGGCTAGTCCGGGATGCTGCCTGCCTATCGGATCTGGCCAGTCCTGGCCCCTCGGGGCAGGGGCGGGGGCGGGGGCGGAGCCCTCCCCTGGGCCCGCAGCAACCCCCCGGGTCTCTCTTCCAGAGATGGAGCCAGCACACTGGCCTCTTCTGAGGCCAGGATGGCCACTGTCCAGAATCCCCTGCTGCTGCACCCACTGACCACACTGGACACCAGGGTCTCAGCTCTGGCCTAAACTTGCCCCAGAATTGCCTCACTCTCATTTGGCTAACGACAGCAGCATTAACAGTAATGGTTAACACTTCCTACTGTTTATGAGTCATATTGTATCACCTGTACAAACTCGTTTAATCCTTACAACAACCCTGTGAGGGATAAGGAAACTGAGTCACACATAAAGTAAGTCACCAAACACTCTCAAGCCACAGCAGAGCGGGAGTCAACTCTACCGCAGGGCTGTCTTCCAGTCCCTGCTCTCAACCAAGTGCAAGTCCCCAGGCTCAGCGCTGGCTCTTCTCCTGGGGGCAGGAGCTCAGCCTCAGCCAGGACAAGCCCCGTGGTCTGACCCCCCTCAGGCTCGCCACTCCCCTGCCCCCCCGCAGCCCCCCACTGGACAATTCGACCTGTTCAGAGTAAGATGCGGGAGGCCCAGGCTCCACACTAGCAAATAAACAGCATGTGTTGCCTTTCCTAGCCCCAGCCCCTGTCCTCGGCCCTAGCTCAGTATCTCAATTCCACAGAACCATGGAAGAAAAATGCACGGAGCCCACGGCTCTGACACTGCAAATGCCACCAGAGGTGACCCCCAAGTGCAGGCTCTGAGGCCTTCCAACAGGCAAAGTTTACCTGTTCACGACTTACGTGTGCAAACTCCACATGCCTTACATTACAGAGGACCCCTCTTCTACACTCCCCTCACCTTGCGTGTGTAAATTTACGTGCTAAAAAAACTGGATGAAAGATTCCTTCTCCCAGAGGTGTGCCTACACGGTTATCTTGAGTTTGCAGGTTGCCAGCTGGCCACCGCTTTCCTTCCTGGGTTGGTTTCCACGTGAGGCTCTGCTGCCCCCTGGTGGCACAGCCTCATTCTCCTGCTCTCACTACTTCGAGCACTGACCTGAGGGTCTAAGAACTCGAATTTGAGAATCACAAGTCCTTCTGTCTGAAGTCGTTTATTCACTCACTCGAGCACTTGTTCAGAGCAAACCTGGCTTACAAGCCCTCCCAGTTAGCTTTCTTCCTCCCTGTCCCACCTTTTTCTTCTTGGTCTCCCTTGGGAAAGAGTCCTTCCACCACTAGATTTGATTCCTCATATAACTGCTCCCCTTTCCACACACTTTTCCCTTTGGAGGTGGACGTGCCCCAGAGGCACCTCTGGCAACTGCAGGGACCTCCGGGCTGTTCTTTCATTTGCCCTGCAGCTTATGAAATATTTTGTCTTTTCTAGACCAACTTTTCCATGATCTTCCTAGACCACAGAGAAAGGTTTCAATGTGTGTTTCCGAGGCCCCTGCTTTCAGAAACTGCTGCCAATGTGAAAGGGGCAGAAAAGAGGGAGACAAGGGACAAACAGCACCCAGGCTGCACACCAGAGTCCCTGCGGCAGGACACCAGCCCTTCTCTCCACCAGACTGAAACTCTAGAGAATGGTGCCCTTGGCAGGGTCTAGGTGGGCAGTGAGCTCAAAGCCTGGCTCCTGGAAGGGACACAGGACCCTGCCATGGGCCTCCAGGGTTCCTGCTATACCCTGCAGGGCATAGTTTCAGAGAAGGAAACGAGAAAGAAGAATGAGGAGTTGCTTGATAACAGTGCACATCCCAGGGGCCAAAGCTCCTCACTGGGTCGGAGGCAGCGAGGAACACGACCTGCTTCCTCTTAATGGATTTGGCCCATTTTTCTCTGAGAATTACTGTCTTCGGAGTGTTTTGTTGTGGGGGGGGTGGGATGTGGATGTGTAGTCCAAAGTTACTGGCTGAAATGTTGGGAAGAATTCAAAACTCACAATGGGGAGGAAATCATAAAAGAGACAGCCTGGAGCACCCGAACCCACCCTACACTGTGCCCACCAAATCCCACCCTGCACCCCAAATCTTCTGAGGAGCCCAGGGCAGTGGTTCCCAACCTCGGGATGCATCGGCGCCCCGAGTGTCTGACTCAGCAGGCCCGGGCTGGGCCTGGGCACCTGCGTTCCTGCAAGTTCCCCGGTGACCCAGATACCACTGGTCCAGGGACCACACTCTGAGAACCAGGGTTAGAAGACCAGCTGCCACCACTAACCACCTCTGTCTTCCACACAGTCATTGTAAACACAACATTCACACAGACGTAAAATTACTTCAGGACAAAGAATGACTGATCCTGTGTACCCCAAACCGAGGTACGCAAGACCAAATGTTAACATGAATCTGCCTAGAATACCAATTTCACTTAAGGATTTGCAGAGGGGAAAAAGTTAAGTAACTGGAAAATTTAAAACATGACATTACTACTACAGTGCAGAAGTGCACTTCTGAGTACAATGCATCAATGACTGGAAGTTTTAAGACATAATTAAGGGATTTCTAAGAGCCCTAGGACTTTTCCGGAGGGCACGTTTCATGCTGTTCTCCAAAAAGGTGCAACACTGGCTCTGCACGTTAAACCACACTCTGGGCCTGTGTGCACATGTGTGGAGGCTTGCACACGTGTGTGTGGTGTGCACACATCTGTGTGCACAGAGGTGCTGCAGGTGCCGGTGCACACTGCATGTGCACACCCATAGTTCTCCTCACCTCCATCAGGACCTTTTTGTTTGGGGGGTGGGGGGTAGCCAGGTCCCTGAGAAACGCTGTTTGGGGTATTTTCAATTACTAACACGGGAGGTGAATTAATTTCATAAGCATGTTCCATGAGGCTAGCTGTGGAGTGAGAAAAATGTATAAGTAAGAGGAAAAGTGAGGTGGGAGTGCTGGAGGTAGCTTGACCAGAGCTTCAGACAAGGCTGCTCGCTGGAGAAAGCAGGCAGGGTCCTGGACCGCACCGCCTCCCAGACCCGAAATCGCTGTTGCCTTCCGGCTCTCTTCCACCTCCCACGTAAGTAGCCCTGAACAGGTCCCAGGCTACAGAAGTTTGTAAAAATAAAAATAAATACTATTTGCCAACCAACAGCTTAGACAGTTTCTCTTCCTACTTTTCAAGCAACACCACGCGATGATGCCAGGACTGCCCTGCAGGGTTCCCCACGAGCTCCTTGCTGCGCCCACTTACTAATCCTGGTGGCCACAGTCCACCGTGAATCAGGGTTGGGACAAGTTGACCTTAATTTTGAAGTCTTTTTTAAATCACAGAAGGCTTTGTTCCTCCTGAAGTACTTATTATGTTAAAAGAATCAAGACAACAATATGTGTTTTAAATCTGTGGGCACCCCTGAATAAAAGCACTGGGGGGAATGTGTCAAAACACCAATGCAGCCCCCGGGGACCCACCTGTGCGATGAACTCCGGGAAGCGGAGGATGGGCCCGTTGTGGAAGACGGGGTAATAGAAGACGTAGGCCATCAACCAGGGCAAGGAGTAGAAGGTGCGCCCAGCGGGCAGCTGCTGCCAGCAGAACTCGAGGCTGAAGCTGGTGTAGTACAGGCAGCGAACGGTCAGCGTGAACTGCAGCAAGTAGTACTCGTTTTCTGTCTTGTACCACCCTCTCTGCAAAGCCAGCAGGAGAGAACAGCCCGTGAGCGGCAAGGAGGGACACTGTCCAATCTCCCAGGAAGGAGAATTCTTCCATGGGTAGAGCAGTAGCTTTACCGTAAAGGGAGCTGAGAACCACTGAACAGCAGGAAAATCTTCTCGGTGAGCAAAACAAGCAGTTAGTGAGCAGTGGGCAGAAGAGTGCCTCTAACAGCAACCATCGGCTTAGCATTAAGCCTGATGCAACAGTGAGGATTTTCCAGATATGCATCTGTCAGACACATCCAATGGGTTGCTGGGATGTTAGCCACAACCAGTGGACACTTTGACAGCTCCTCCAACAATGCTGGAGACAAAGAGGGGCTTATGAACATCACACAGGTTGTCCACTCGCTCACCTTTCCCACCACGCTCTTTCCCATGACTGCCGATCGCAGCACACCAATTCCAAGTCCATCACTTGAATCAATGAGCAAGCAAATGAATGAACAAGTGAACAAAAATAAAGACACTGCAGGAGGTCCAGCTCCACAGTCAGAGACTACAATAAAATTCCCAGCACTTTCTGTGCAAAGAAATACCTGCCTTATCTGTCTCAGGGGCTGCAGTGGTACCAGATGAAGCAAGGAATGTGAGAGTTTCCTATGAATTGTATAGCACTCTACAGATGATGTCTTGTTAAATACATAGGGAACTATTGCTTTGTTTTCCCTTTATTCCTGACCTTCTCCTCTGGTGACATGTGCCACCATCCATGCCTACCCAAAGTGGCAGAAAAGTACAAGGTTAGCCCTGTGCAACTTCGGAGGACTTCGCTAGAAAACACCTCACTGCAGAATGCAGCACAAGTCTCTCCTAACATTGATGACTGTGGTCTCGGGGTACAGAAAGTGGGAAGAGAAAATAAAGAAATTTGGGATTGTGGAAATAGACTGCCAAATAAATCAATCAAAATCTTAAAAAAAAAAAAAAAAAAAAAAAAAAAGAATGCAGCACCAGGGTTCACATGCATCAACCCCACGTGGCCACTAGGAGGAGCCCCACCACAGTTCTTCAACTGACTCTTGGTAAAACAAGGATATCTACAGGATGGGGGCATTGCCAAAGGGACCACCTTCTTCCCAAAAGTAAAGGGAGACACTTACCTTCATCTCCTCCACATCTTGCAGCCTCAGTGTGGAGAGCAGGAGGAGAGAACAGAGCCAGGATAGGAACAGCGACCGGAACTGGGCTACACAGAAGGCGATGATGGTGTGGAGGAAAATCGTGGCTGTCCCCGGGGCACCCAGCACACACCAGCAGGCCCACATCCCGTAGGCAGTGAGGATCCAGGGTCTGTGCTGCACACGGGGACCCAGTGAGAGAGGCACAGAGGGAGGGGAGGGAAGGAGAGAGAGAGGAGTGAGCTGGGGGCCTTGTTACTGAAGATCCCAAAGGGGAGAGGCTGATGCTTAGCGAGCCTGTGCTCGCAGGGTCCTGCTGAAGTGAAGGTGGGGGAGAGGCTCAGTGAACGTGGGGTGTCGGGAGGAACCACAGAGGGCTGTGCCAGTCGCAACCACGGGTTCAAAATGAAGTGTCTAGTTGCATTTTGATTTATTAGCATATTATGTAGTCACATTTATGTCGCAGCAAAGTAAACATTACCTGCTCTTTGAGATATTGAAGCCTTTGCATAGTCAACCTGATTAAAACATTCAGCCTTCTTTCAGGAGAATCAGAGGATCTCTTTCTTTTAATTATCAAGTTCTAATAGTGTTGGGGACTGCTCTGCCTGGTTTCGGGAATTATAACTACCCCCCATGGCTAAGGATGAGCAAGCGACCTCCAGAATGCAAGCCGCAGGAGATGAAGCTTGTCTCTGGTAGCAAATGCTGCCTCAGTTTCCTCCCCTGCCCCCAAAGCACGATTGGTAGTCAGAGATGGGTAAGACCCCTCAGAGGAGGGGCAACCTAAGCCAGACATGATCACTTGGGAGGCCAGCATGGAAGGACTTGGGGGGGTGCAGCAACAAAGAGCAATGCCCCACCCCAGCTTTGACATAGCCTGAGTCCCCATGTTCTCTTGGAGAAGTGCTTCCTGGCTCTAATCCTCTTAAGCCTGAAAACCTGATGGGGAGAGGTACAGCTCCTTGCCCCAGTAGAGTGGGATCCCGGTAGAAATCTGGCATAAGAAAGAATTCTTAAAAATCCTGTGAAACCTGCTTTGCCAAGAGTGCTTTCATTCATATGTTAAGGGTTCAAGCAGGAAACCCTAAAGTTTCTGCAAACCCCCTTTCCTGACAGACACTGACTCAGACTAAGCCCTCAGATTTCTTTGAAATGTTATCTACTGTTTGATCCTTGCTGCCCTGTATTCCTGTGTATTACAACCCAATAAAAGACCCTGGAGGAAGGGGCTCCAGGCCTCTTTCCTCTGAGAAACTGGCCACCTTTCCTCCCCAAGCAGATCATGTCTTGTAGTGTTTACTTTCATCTGTGGCGGAGGGGGGTCTTGCAGGCAAAGTCACCCCCACATAATAGTGATTGACACTGAATAACTTAATAGATGAATTAACATGTCTTTGCCTTTATGATATACTCTTGGCCATATCTGTCATCCTTAAAACCACAACAATGCTTTAACATTGTTTGAGAGGCAACATATCATCTCGGTTTAATTACTCAAGCTTTGAAGTCCAGCTGCCTAATATACCCTGGCACCCCTGTTAACTAGCTGTGTGGCCCTGGCAACTTGCTCAATGCCTCTGTGCATCATTTTTTTATATATAAACTTAGGATGATACCAGTATCTGCTTCAGAAGGATGCTGTGAGAAGTTAGTATGGAAATGCATGTAAAATGCTTACAGTGAATGGTGTCTGCACACATCGTAAATACAGCGGGAATACCAGCCATTATCTCTATAGGAAACTATGATGTGTCTCTTCAGTGTGCAATTGAAAGTGTGGTTTCTAGGAATGTCTTCTTGTAAAAACAAGGACTTCTTTAAGGGAAAATCAGCTGTGGGCTGAAAATTGCGAATCCCACGCTTCGATGCTAACTCTCCCAAATTATCGCTGAAGTGTGATTTTCCCCAAACCTACGCTCCAGCTCAAGAGAAAACATTTGAAATGAGTGACTACGTCAGGCACTTTCAAGTTCCAAGAAAATCAAAGAAATCTGCAGCCCATTTTTACTATTTTTCCATCCTACTACCCACAGAAAACGGCCACATCAATTTGCTTCAGACTTTCCCCCAAACACTCACCTCTGGGCAGAGTGCAAGTACACGGAACAAGGTTGCCAAAGACTATTTTTAAGAAGGAGTTACAACAAGTGAAAAAAAAAAGGTTCTATTTCACCATGACCTACAGCGTTTACCACTGGGAATTCACTCTCATGCCAGGTGCTTATACATACACACAGCCACATTTTTATTAAGTGCCACTTGATCCATTTGGAAAAAGCCTGTTTTCTGGGATTCGTTTGGGAATTTAACCGCAGACTTAAGCTGCTTCGACTTGGAAAAGCTGAACAGACCTTCAGGAAACACTCAGTGGCACTGTGCAAACCTGCTTGTGAGACACTCTGATGAACCTCACTGCTCACAAAAGCTGCCCTGGGGGCACGCGAGCTTGTCCCACGTTCCCGCCCCGCTGCCTGCCTCCTGCCAAACAGCAGACAGACGACACTTGACGTCATTCTAAGACCTCCTGTCCTCTACCAACCCTCATATCGCCCTCTCCTCAGGGGGTCAAGGCAGCTCATTGTGAACAGGCAGTGAAAAGGAAAAGGTGTTAGCAATGCAGAAAAAACACCTGCACAGTATCGCTTTTCATTCTGTCTATAAAAATGCGGTTCGAATCCCATCCTCAAAACCCCACTAAAACGCTGAATACAGCATGAGTAGCCTTCCATCCCTCATTCCAAAACTTCTACAGGAGGTCACCTTTGGGATTAGCTTTCCCCTCGGCATAATTCCCTGGAGATTCGTCCCAGTTGCTGCGGTATCAAAGCTTTGCTCCCGTTATGCTGTGTAGTATTCCACGACATGGACGTGCCACCGCCTGTTTAACCGCCCACCTGCCGAGGGACAGCCAGGCTATTTCCACTGTGTCTCAGTTATGAACCGATATGAACAACTGTGTTTGTGTGAAAATGAGTGCTCACATCTCTGGGATAAATGCCCAAGCATGAACTTGCAGGGCTGCGTGGCAGTTACGTGTTTAGTGTTACCAGAAACGCTGCACGGTCTTCCCGAGTGGCCATCTCACACTCCCACCAGCCACGGACGAGTGAGCTGGCGTACGGGCACCCTCACCAGCACTTGGGGGTGTCGCTGGGTTACAGTGCAGCCATCGTGGTGGGCGTGCAGGGCTCCCTCACTGGGGCTTTGATTTGCATTCACGATGCTCCTTCAAAGGACAACAAAGGGTGAGCAACCTGAAGCTCAAAAATAAGGCAGGTTGAACTTCGCTGGGTGCAAAGTTCATCGGAACTAGCCAAACCCCCTTGACTTCCTCTGTTCCAGGTGCTTTGGTTTCTAACAGAAGATAAAAAGAAGGCAGGGGAAGAAGAGCAACTTTTATTAAGGAATTTCTGTGGCAGTGGAGACACAGCCAGACTAGGAATACCTTGGCCCTTCTGATGGGACACGGTCCCTACGGCCCAAGCTGAACCAGGGAGGTGACCTCGCTCTCCGCTCCACTGCTCCCTGTGTTTACACAGGGCTCGCTTCTCAAAAGGCCAGTCCTGTCTCATTCGTGTTATAATAATACAGGCCCAGAATCCAACACCGTCCCTAGCATACAGCAAGTGTTTCGTAAATATTGGGTGGGTGGGTTTATGGATGGATGGATAGATGGATATGCTTCCTCAAGTCTTAGGATCTAACCTGGTAGTTACGAATAAGAAATCAGCGCCAAAGTGTTGGGCTGTCTGGTCCACTGATGTGAGATCCTGCTGTTTCCAAAGTCTCTCCTTGTACCACTTAACCCCTTAGAAAGCAAGGCTGCCCTGCCTGTGGGTGTGGACCATGCACGTCACCTCTCACCATCTACCGTGTGTTCCCCACTCACTGGGGTCCTTTAAGTTGGGAGGACCTCAAATAGTTTGCACCCAGTGGGGCGCAGGCACCAGCCTATGAAAGCAGACCTCGGTGACAGAACCTGCTGCCTATCGCCCCACGAAGTCTTCCGGGAGACAGACCAAGTGAGCCGGCACATTTCCCAGGCTGCAGTCAGCACCCCTGAGGACAGGCCGTGGGCTGGCCCTCCTTCCTCTGTAAACCTGTATCCTCCAGAGCCTCTCCATGGGGAGGCAGGGCCCAGCCACGGGAAGCGCCGGCTGGCAACAGCCCGCTCACACCATCGCGACTCACACTCGTGCTTTTCTGGGCTGTGAGCACAGACTGGTAATAGGATGTGCCTGAGTGGTTTCCCTCATTATCTTGTCTCTGTAGGGAGGAAGGAAAACGCAAAGCCTCGGCGCAGACTCCTGTTGGCAGCGGCACCAGACTTGGCTGCACACTCTATCTTTTTGTACATCTGCCCAAAAAGCACTCGGTGGAGCGTTGTTTGAGAAGCAAATAAAAAGGAGCCGATCAATAACCCTTCTATGTGGCATAACTTATTACATAGTACATAATCAAGGGCAGCTGCTGCCAAAAAAATATGTCGATATATCTCCCTGAACAAACAGGGGAAACACAAAACCAGCCCAGAGTCCAGGCATCTCCACTCTGGCCTGCTTTTCCCGAGAGCAGAGGCCGGCAGGCCCCCATGCAGCAGATCTCAGCCCTCCCTAGATGTGCGCGGATGGAGGCGGCAGAGTCTGCTTCCAGGAAAACCATTAGTGCCTGCGATTCCCATTAGGTGTGCGGTTTCGGGAACAGGCTGGCAGGGAGCGCCCGCTCGCCCACCGCGGTCCTCCAGAGGTTAGTTTACTCGTCTCCACCAGCATGCTTTGCAGTCCTGTGGCCGATGAGCTCAGCCAGTCGGGCCCTAATGCTAATGATTCGGGTTCTGGCTGTGGGAGGGGCAGTGAAACTCTGCTCTGGGGGCGGCAACAGCGCCCACCCTCAGCCCCGGCGCCAGGCCAGCCTTCTCAAAACGCTCATTCGAGGTTACTTTCAGTTCTGAAGGCAAAGAACACGATGTCTCAGGTGGTGGTGAGGCCACAGGGGTGTTCAAGAAGTGGGGAGTGACCTGACCCACCCCAGCACGGTCCAAGCACAACACGCCCATAGTCGAAGCCCCGTTACTCAGCCTCCCAGGGCACTGGCCCCAGCTCGGTCTCACCAAAACCGGGGGAGCCCTACCCAGAGGAAAGGCTCTTAACCTCAGCCAAGGAGCTCAGTGGAAAGTTCTATTACTTGTCATGGCAAAAAAGGAAAAGAAAAAGGAAGAAAATCACACTTTGGAAGCTACCCTGCCTGTCTCTGGAAGGCGGCAGGGCTCACAAAGGCAGGGATGGGATGAGATACCAGACAGAGGTGGGAAGGTCCTTCAGGGTTTAAGGGCTGTACCACCGAGAACTGCTAACATCTGTCCCTGCGTGGCACTGTTCATAGTTCCCGATGTCTCCAAGGATGGAGAAATAAATAAACTGCAGCCTTAATCTTCCACCCTGAGTAAGTACCAAAACACCCACCTGCATTAAGGCCATCTGGAACACTCAGTCCAGGTGGCAAAGGCGCAGGGCTAATGGGGCCAAAGCTGTGGCTCGTACTTATTACATAAGGCCGAGCAAACGGGGACAAAACAAGCACTGTGCCCCAGCCCCAGCCAGAGCCCTGCTCACGCTGCCGCACAAACCGAACCTGAGGGGGGACGGGAGAGAGACACACACACACAGATGACTCTGTGAGCTCTGCCTCATTCCAAGAAAAAACACAGACACCTCCTACTGACTTGGGGTAAGATGTGCCCCGAATATAAAAAGAGGAGCCTGCCTGCCCACCAGGCCTGGTAATGAGATGCAAAGCTGAAATAAGCAAACGACTCTACTTCCTTCAAGCCACAGATCAAAGCCACATCCTCAGAAGCCTTCCCTGTCACCCCGAGGCAGATGTGGCCCACTCCTCCTCCCAGGCAGCCAACCCACCACCACGTAGGGCCAGCTCCGACATCAGAGTTGGCTTCCTCTGTACCATGACTTCTCGCTCAACTTGCCAAAGGAGGGGCCATGTCTCCCAGGACTCAACATGCACTGGCAACATGGTCAGAGAAAGACAGGCAGGAGAGGAGTGTTGGTGTGACCACGAAGACAGCCTCTGCCCCTGCAGGCTTTGGTGTCTTGGGACCGCTGCCTCCTTTCTGGAACACCGTGGAGGAGACGGCCCAGGAGCACACACAGACCTCACTCACAGCACACGCCAAACGCCAGCAGACACCAGCAGGTGCCACAGCAGCCACCACTTACTTGGTGTTTATCACATGCAGGCAGAACCTTAAAAACATCAGACCCTCAGCGCTACCCCAGAAGCAAATGCTGCCATCCCCGCTGCACAAATGAGGAAAGGAACCGAAAGACATCAGCTAACTTCAGACTGTGTGCGCAGCTTAAACCCCCAAAGCTGGGATTCAACCACTCTGAACACTGCCTCCCAAGACGAAAAGGGCCTTAACTCAAAACTGCAAGCAAATTAAATGGAAGGACATCTATATTCTAACCTAGGCAGACTTCTGAGGGTAGCAAGTGCGAAAGAGGAGCTCAACATTGAGGAAGTTGGGAAAGGGGGAGGAGCCTTGAGCCAAGAAGACAGAGTTAATCTACATCCCGCATTCTCCATGGGTGTTAGATCTCCTCCAACAGAGGGGGAATTGGTTCTTGGAGACAAAAATAAGCATCAAGCACAGCCATGCACACAGTACCTGAGCAGATACTCAGCGTGTCTGCAGGTAAAACTTCACACAGAAGCGCCCTGGCGGGTGTGGCTCAGGCGGTTGGAGCATCACCCAGAAACCACAGCTTCCATCTGGTCAGGGCTTGAGCCTGCAGTGCCAGTTCATCCCTGGTGGGGGCGCACTCGAGAGGCAACCTGTCCATGTTTCTCTCCAACATCAGTGTTTCCCTCCCTCTCTCTAGAAGTGACGATTAGGAAAAAATACCTGAAGAGGATGGCGGTGGGCGGGGGGACGGTAATGAAGAAAGCTAGAGAAAGACTGACCTTCTCGAGCGAACAAGAGGCAGCAACAGCAAGAGGGAAGCAGAGCAGACCCACCAGACAGCGCCGAGGCAGGGAGGGGCGTGGGGAGCACAAGCCTGCAGAGGCCAGGGGGCGGGGCAACCTCGCCTTTCCTTCCTCCTGCCACTTCATTCTTCCCCAGGATCAATTAAAAACATATCAAACATCAAGCACAGAGGAAGGAATATTTATTAAGTTTGTCAGGTGTACAAAGAAAAATGAAATAGCACCAGCACACCCACCAGCAACTGAATAAAGACAAGACTCTCCGTGCTTAAAGGGCCCTGGGCAGCCCCTCTGATCCCATCTAAGTCCCTCCCCAACCAGCTGTCACCACGTTCCTGAATTTCATATTTATTTTCTATTATCTTATCTGTCTTTGCAAGTGTGACTTTAGTTTGCGCACTTCTGAGCTTTAAGCACGTGGGATCCTATCTGAAGGATTGCTCTGCAATTTACCCGACTGGTTCAGTGCTGTAATCCATAAATGTACCCATGCTCGTAACTAGTTTTACTTCAAATCCTTTATATTCATTGCTTTGAAAAATAACTTGGAGGAAGTAAGTGCAGGATAAGAATGTGTTAATTGTGTGTGTTAAATGTCTGATCTATCATTAACAATTTGTTCTCATCTTGTCCAGGCTTCCAAGGCTAACATGCATGTCTGCTGATTCTTAGCTCAGGGCTCTTTCTTCAGAAAAAGCAAAGGAGAAAGAGGCTTGAAAGAAAGTGATGCACACAAGCATACCTTCCTCGAAATCTGGTTGGCCATCTGAGACACAGCCAGGTGGCCAAGGAGAAGCCACACCAGCTGCTGCTTCCCCCACTCCATCCAGAAGCTCCACTCAAAGTCGGTCCGGTCCTAAATAGGCCAAAAGAGGAGTTTATCAGAAGGATTCCAGTGCACGTCTGAGGCAGGACACAAACTCCAGTTAATAAACCAACTTGAAAGGAGGCCAGTGGGAGCCCAGACTCTGCAAAGTGGAATTTAACAGCGCTCCCAGCCTTTCCCCCCCAGACCCCACCACATGCCTCCCCCCTCCAGTTCGGCTGGTCGTTGCATTTTTCAGACAAGTGTCTTCGTAATGCTGATCTCCCAGGACCTCTGTGGACTGGAAACTACTATTATCCCCATTTTATAAAAAACAAAGCGCGGTTAAAAAATTCAATCCAGTCACCCAGTGTCACACAGGTGGTGTGTTGATGAACAGAGATCGCTCAGTTCAGCCACCCTGGCACCCGCACTTAACACGGGAAATGTGAACTGAACACTAGGAAAATTGCTTCAAGTTGTGAACTCTTGCTGCCATTTGGAAGCAAGAGGATAATTTGATAGAGAAATGAACTATTTCCCTATAAGACTCTAAGGAAAGAATAAAAGGTAGACTTCTGTTCCCTGTGTCTGCATCTGCACCAGCCTCTGGGTCTGTGCAGCGCCCTGGCGGGGGCGGGGGGGGGTGGCGGGGTGAACCAGGCTCTGGGGAGAGGGGACACGTGGATGCCTGGAACTATGAGACAGCACCTGAAATCTTAGCCTCAGGAGGGCTGGGAGGTCATGGTGGCCCAGTTGGGCATGGAGGGCAGGGAAAGAATCCCCCAGTGACTTGGTTTACCCTTACCCGAGGACATGTTTTCAGTGCTGTGAGAGAGAGAGATGGTTGTGGGTCAGAAACATCGATTGACTGGCTGCCTCCGGCACACACCCCAACCAGGGAACGAGCCTGCAACCTAGGCCTATGCCCTGACTAGGATCGAACCCACGACCTTTCAGTTATGGGATGATGTTCCAACCAACTGTGCCACACTGGCCGGGGCTCCCCCAGTGACTACTGATACTGAACAACTCATCGGTCTCTGCAAGTAGAACTCTGGACCAAATTTAACTGGATTTAGAGTAAAATATCGAGGGGGGGGTGGTTTAGAGGATTGAGGGGAAACTTCATACCAGTTACACATAGTATAACACTCTTTTTTCAGAAGGTAAAATATAGATAAAATTGATTTTGATTCACACAAGACTATGAAGGTGGAGACAGCAAACCTAGCAGCTAAGGTTGCAGGCTCAGCTTGGTTTGCATCCCAGGTCTATCCACACACGGCTGTGCTGACCTTGAGCAAGAACTTCACCTTCCTGCTTGGTCAGCTCATAGGATAACAGTGCAAATCTAGGGCTTTGTGAGGTTTAGATGAGAACATGTGTCTCATTATGTAAAAATAGGACCTGGTGCACAGCACGCACTAAATGTAACATAAACACACATTCGCCACTCATGGTGGCCTGTGTGCTTGCCATCGTGTGTTAACCAGCTGTGATTGTATCATGCTGCATACTGCGTCACTTGTTAAAAAAAGATTTTTCCATTTTTCACATAAAGAAACACAGACTGTGTATTCTCAAATGACCCATGCTCCCCACACCCAATACCCTGATAAACCCTGAGACACAGGCGACCTCCTCACAGAGCCCCACCAAGAACAAAGAGGACAGGGATGACGATGGGTGGCCTTGGAGGAGGGCCTTGCAGCAGGTTCCGTGTTCACCCTGAGCTCGTGTGCCCACTGCGCAGGGAACGTGGGCTGCGTGTGCCACAGACCAGACCGGCTCCCACCCAGGAAACCCAGGCTTGAGTTCCAGTTCTGTCCGCTATTGTTATCTGACCTCAGGCTGGTCGGTCTTCCTTTATGGAATTAGCGTTAAGTATAATCATGGAAGCAAAGGGGGTTGACCCATGAAGCCCAAAGTCGAAAGTCGGAAAAGTTAATGTATCAAAAATTGAACTCATCCCTCCAAATCCATCCTCTTATTGTTATCAAAATTGTCCCACTGAAACAGGGTTAGCCAACTTTTAGAAAGGGCTCGATGGTAGATATGTTCGGCTCTGCGGGCCACAGCCTCTGCGGCGACTACTCAGCTCTGACAGTGCAGCCAAAAGCAGCCACAGACAGTACACACACCACTTGACTTTCAAAACCAGGAGGAGGTCCAGACTGCATCCATGAGCCAGAGCTGGCCCATCCCTGTTCTCAGGGATTGCCATGTCTCCTGGACTCTCATTTACCTCCTGGGGAGAGCAGGTCAGGAGCACTGTCTTCAGTTCACAGACGGACAGCATTTTTAGGTAATTTGCTGTCAGATCTGAAGTCCACAGCTACCGAGGAAGCAGACCCCATGGAGGCCATGGAAGGGTCTCAGCAATTGCCCACCGATGAGCCTTTGTTAACCAGGAAAAACCTGGAGTTACTGCTCACCTTTTTCCTCCCTGTCCTCCGTGCTGGACTTACTTCCGCCCTGGGTCCTGTTCATTGCACACTAAGGCTTGTTCTCTCCATTCTGTCCCCTCTCACCGCACCTAAGTAATGTTTTTAAGACAACACCTGAGTGTGTTACTCCGACCCCCACCCTTCACATTCTTCACATTTTCCCCTTAGTGTTCCAGGGAAACATTCTAAGCAAGATTCGTGCAGCTCTTCTCATCTGGCCCTGCCTGTCCCTTCATCGTCCTCCCCTAACCTGCCCCCCACCCCCATCCTACAATCCAGCCACGCTGACCCTCTGACAGTCCCCCAGATGTGTAGTGTTCAGACAACCAGAACTTCCCACCCTCTGCTCCCTCTACTTGGAGAAACCCATCCCTCACACATCACTATGATGATGACCCACCTTCCAGGTCTCAGTTCGGGCAAGCCTTCCCCCAGAAATCCTTTCCTAATCTGTCCCTTTACAGTCTGGACCCACTGTCCCTCGTCTCTGCTCCCACAAAGCATTGTGGCCACCTTTCTCGCAGCAACTCACCACGTCGTCACGTCGTGCTTTAATTGCAGGTTACTGAGGAGCCTCTCCACTGAACGGTGAATTCCTTTCCCACAGGAACCACATACACATTCACCACTGTATCCCCCAAGAGACCGGCACATACTAGATGCTCAATAAAAGCTTGCTGAATAAATTGAAGGCATATACAATGGGTCGAATCATTTTTAAGAACCCAGTATAAGCACAATCTCCAAAAACTGTAGACCCTGGCACCTGTCCTTAAATACCTTTATGATCACAGTTAGAAAACAAAAACTCACAGATTAGTTCTATTGAATGATCTGCTCTGCAGATTTTCCTCACTAATGGAGACCTGCTCTCTGGTATATCAGTTACTCATTCTAAAGAGGTGGACAAAATAGAGTATTATTATAGGAGAGGACTATTTGTGACTTAATTGTAAAATTTAAACGAATTAAAATATGGGAAACACCTGAAATAGTGCCTGGTACTTAGGAAGTACTATGTACATGTTTTGTTAAGTAATTACATAAACAAACAACAAACTCTATTTTTCTCTGATAGCCCCAGAAACATAAACCCAGGAATTTTTGAGCTGCATATCCTGAAACAGATAGAGGTACTCATGGTAAAATCCGAGCTAGCTGAGCTACTCAGGATCCTCCAAACACAATCAAAAGAAAGGAGGAAGGTTCTAGAAGCTGTGTACTCAAAAGGAGTGAATGCACAGTTAACCAAAGGGGAACATCAGCATTCAGAAAAACTACAATATCTGAAATGCCATGGGAAGCAACAATCTTAACTTTCTCTTCCAAACAAAATATCTGCTCTATTTGTCAGATAGCACTGCTTAACTCAACACCACCCCCCCACCCCGTCTAGAACGACTTCCTACAGGTTAGACGCTGAAAGCCGAAAACTACATTTCCCAGAATTCTGGGAAGCTAGCATATCTGCATAAGACCTTGCTTCTGGTGAACACACAGGAAGAATTTGACGGTGCTGGAACACAAAGAAATATGCGCACTAAGACTCTTCTGAAAGCATGGAGGCAGAGGCCCAGCGGTTGCTCCGCAGCAGCCCTGGTGGGGACTCCGAGGCCCAGTGGGACCAGAGGTACAGCAGCTTCGCGGTGTGGCAGTGTGTGCTGGGGGCGCAAGCCCGTCTCGCAGGGCACTCTGGGAATTGTTCCTGGAAGCTCACAGAGAGCCTGTCCTTCCAGTCCTTTTGACTGTTCTGAGATCTCTTTAAATTCCCACCGTAGATTCCTTTCTGCTTACCCTGACTGCGGAGGGTTCTGTTGTCTCAGTGGAAACTTAATCACCAGACTTTGGAATGATTTTTTTCATCTGATTGCAGTTCAGCTCTAGCTTTATAATAGAAGGACTATGAAAATAATTCCCTTTGTAGAAAACTATTCTGAAATTAGTCTGTTCAGTGGAGGAAAATAAAATGGAAGAAAACGCTAGCTAGGTCAGTCCAAGGAATGTTCTAGAACTGGATAATGGAGGCAAGGAGTGTTAACGTTAGAACACATTCACCAGTGAATCTATTTATGTATCTCAAAACTAAACAATCATCTACCTACTGCCAGTCAGCATTTTTCATTATACGTTATTTCTTCTCAGATAGAGAAGACAGTGGAGAGCCGAATATATTTATGTTTTCCTTACCTTTGTAGCCAGAATTTTGCAAAAACTGAAATGCAATATAAATATTAGACATTTTTGTTTACCTGTTTCCTAAACAGCATCATACGCACATTATTTCCTTTGAGACCATATCTAACTCCCAATCACACTGAACAAAAATAATCTGTGAACCTTTATAAGGTTCCGAGGAAACCTTGTAAGACACTCAAATGCAGAAATGTTTCCCTGTATGTTCCAAGGCAGCAAGCTCACCTTAATGGCCTATAAATCTCCAAAGGAGAAGGAAAAGAGGAGGACGTATTTATAGAAATTCCGCACAGAAGCAGCACTGCTCTCTGGATGAACTCAGCCTAATGATTCATTTAGCAATTATTGGAAGGGTTTTCTTTTTCTTTCAACAGATGCTTTGTTATTTCTAAAATAATGCAAACTAAATTATTTTACTGCTCACAATTTCCAGAGACAACACTCTTTCCCCAGCCAACATTTCCTCAAAGATAAAATGTTTTCATTAACAGAACTTTTTTCTCCTACAAATAACAAAGTCTCCGCAAAAAATGTCTTCACCACCCTGCACAAGTGAAGATTCTCCGGAGACCAGGGGGCGGGGATGCCACCAACTGAACTCACACAGTCTGCACTGTTGTGCCAGCTTCTGTCCCCATCCCCTCACTGGCCCTCATGAGGGGCCCACGGTTTAACGGGGGCAGGGAGGTGTTTTGTAGAACAGGAAAGAGAAAACCTCTCAGGGCCTTAGTTAAATCAAGAGGATCTAATTGAGGTGGGTAAGTTCTTTGCATCTCTTACCTACCTACCAACTAAACTCAGTGACTTCCTCTGGCTACACCGCTCTCTGCCTGCAGCCTGGAGGTCACTCCAGGTTATGCCAGACTTAAGCACACACTTGATTCAACAAGTACAGACTCTGCCTCCCTGCTGTGCCTATTCTACATTTCTCCTTTCTTCCTAGTGTAACAAAGAATGAGTCACACTTCTAAAAAGAAATACTAAACTTTAGTGTGAAGGCAAAGGCACAAAAACTACATTATTTCCCCACATTCTCAAACTGGAAGAACGCTAACCACACTTTCTATGATATATAGATATATATATATTTGAAGAAATGAGTTGCAAACTGTTAACAAGGTTGTCAGTAATTACGAATCCTGACCCCCAAAATAAGTAAGTAGTATAATGGAATGGGAAAGAGATTGTGTTTTCTGCCTAGGAAATCTCCACACATTCGAGAAAACCAGTCAACACATAACATCTCGGTGGTGGGCAGACACTAGCAAACTGTAACTCCAGATGGAATCCCAAAATGTTGAAGGTCCCCAAGGCAAAAGGCCAATGAAGAAAGGGAAGAGCAATAAAAGAGAAAACTAACGTTTGCCATCCATCCAGTGGGGACCAGAAGGGAGACCTTCATAATCCCAGATACCATTTTTGTCCTTGAATTGTACACACGAATTGTACACACCCCATGGAAGACCGGGAAAGGGGGCGGAGGATGTGAAAGAATTCTCCCCCACATCACTTCCAGCTGTCCCCTGTACTCTGACCTCTGCTCGGCCCCCTACCGGTGGCCCCGACACACCCAGTGAATACTAAGGTATTTGCGCTCCCAGGGTGATGACTCACAGTTCATTTGCATACCCATAGTACCCTGCACAGAATACAATTCTTTCAGGTTTAAAAGGGTTTTCTTTTTAACTCGACATTTCTAAGTATAAGAAGCCTTTTCACAGCCTTCCTTGTACAACTTTAGGCAGGAAGTACCTCTCAGGGATAAAGAGCCACCGTGAGTGAATTAGGAGCTGCAGTTACTGGAGTAGGGAGGTCAGCAAAGGGAGAGGCATACTCTGGTTTCTCTTCAGATCGCATAAATCTTTCGCCTTTTACTAAAGATTTCCGTGGAGAGGAACAATTCTGAGTTTTCACTCAATTTTTTGAGGCCTTGTTTACTACAAGGCTAACATCACTGGTACAAAAAAAAAGATACTTGTAGAATAAAGCAAAATGTAATTTAAACTGTCAGTGCATCTATTAGCTCACTGGGTAAGGGTAAATCAATAAAGGTATTGACTAGTTGTTTCATTTATATACCAACTGTTGAGGAAGTTAATACTTGGTTGTTTATAGTGTGATTAACACTGGGTTAACGAGCTAGGGACTTCTGAGGCTGATAGTGACTACTGAGTATGGACAGAGTTCTGAACTTCACTCTGCATGAAACCACTTCCCTTCCGTGGTACCTAGTAATACCAGCTTCTAAAGGGACTGCATCCGGCCACAGGAAAGGATCTGAACTGCGGCCTGCCTCGGATGGCCTAAGATTTGCTTTCATTTGATGGGCAACTAACCCACCTTAAATTTGCTTTCATTTGATGGGCAACTAACCCACCTCAAACTTAACAGCCACAGTTGTCCTGAAAGTGACTCCGGCCCTGTGTGCCCACAAAGACACCGCCCCCTCATCTCCCGGGGGCACAGTGATCTCCCTCTCACTCTGCAGCTGCTTCTGATTTCTTTTTAACACAGACTTACCGCCTGTCATGTCATGATCTCGAAAGGCAGTAACCTTGTGAAGCATGTTGACAGGCGCTGCTTTTAGGGAATGTAAGAGAAGGGAGCGTTTCCCCTCCTCCCCACCTCCAAGTCTATCCAATTTCAGCTCCAAGCTACTGTTCACCCTGCTCTAGCCTGGGATAATCTCTGCTGCTTCTCCTCTGGAAATCCTACCAGTTTGATCATTTATATAGAATACATGGTGTGAATTAACTCACCCACCTCCAAGCAATGGTTCTTAACATTTAACATGCCCAAACGGGGACCCCACAGTCCAGAACAGCCTCCGATGAATGCTTCCCACAGGTGCTTGCTTGTTGGAGTGCTTCCCTAAGGGCCGAGCACAGAGGCAGCCCAAGCTTTCGGGAACAGTTTCAGGGGCGGGTTTTGCACATGCCACTAATAAATGTTTGCACATGTAGCAGACTTCATATATAGACTCTGCCCATAACATACCACTTGGTGGCGAGGCTCAGGGGCAGGAAGACATTTAACGCTACCTACCTCCAACTGCCAGAACCCACCAAGAATAGAATCAAAGAACAGAATTTCTGTTGAACGGAGAAGGCTTGGGTCCTTTCAAAACATACCCCTTCTGTTTAGGGCTCAGCTCCCATCTACCTCGTCCAGGGACCTTTCCCTGGTTATTCCAAGGCTACATATTCTCCCAGCAGCGTTTGGCTGTGCCAACCAGGGGCACACATGCAAAGGAAGACACTGTTAAAGGTAACAAATGCCAGGGCCAATTTTCACATGGGACACACAAACAGAGCCAGTTGGCCTGGCTGTAGACAGCTGGAGCCTGTTCAGCTTGGTTGAGGACTCTGTACTCTGTTAAATGCTCAGAGTATATATAATTTTCTTGTGGAGAGAAAGCATGCTTCTCACTTCCCTTTACCAGCTGCACCTATCACAGCCTGGACCCCAAAGCAGCTGGTATGCAAACAGTTACTTATAAACTGACTGGTTTGTGGCTAAGAAATTTGTCACCATTCCTGACCTATACCTGTTATTACCACCTCAAGATTTAAATAAGTATTCATGGAAAACACCTCTCTCTCTCTCTGCCCCCTGCTCTCTCTTTCTCTCATATGCACAAGCAAACGTACTTGAACTTAGTGTCACAGAGCTAAAACCTTGGTTTGAACTTCACCTTATCTTCTGGCTCCCTCAAGGACCTTTATAATGAAGCAAATAATATTTTCATGAACAAGTAGGCGTAGAAGAGAGTGGAGGACAAAGCCGGGCACTTGGTGGCCAAGCAATTGTGAGGTTTATCCACTTGCATCGTAGATCCTATGTTCCCGTAAGGCAGAGAGCTACACTTTCCATACCGATCCTCCCCAGGGACTCTCAGCCCCTCACTTTCTCCTGCCGAGCTGCAGGTCCTTTACAAATGAAGAAGGAAATCCAGCAGGGATGAAAGTACACAAGAGATGGTACTGACAGATAAAGAGCAGGAGTTCTTTGCCAGCGGGAGAGACAGGGCCCACTGGGTGCCTCCCTCGCTGGTCTGTGGGGTTCCTGCCTCCGCCACTCGAAGACTTTTCGGCCCACAGTCTCTTTGGTGGACGGGCCGGCACAGGACCCAACAGTCCACCTGGGCACCGCTAGTGTGAGGGGCAAGGCTGCATAACACCCAATTTTCTGTTACTAAGGACAGGCCGCACGTTCACAGGCACTGCCAAACCGCTTCCTAAACCGCTTCCTATTCCGCTCCTGCAGATGGAGAGCAACGCAAAGACACAGCGGGAAGGCTGGAGTCGTCTTTGAGGGGCTGCAGCCCAGGGAGACAGGGAAGGCCTGAGTCTGCAAACACGCCAGAGCAGATACGTGGAACAAAGCAGACATCGTCTAGGGACCAAGGTTTCTTCACGGTAAGTGTCCCACCAGGCAGGCAGCTTTACCTGAATCCAACAAACACTGCTGAGCACCTACTGTGTGCGGGGCAGGGGAGGCAGGGATAAAAGACCCTCACATCGAGAACAGGGAGCTGACACCTAACAGAGGTCCGGGGAAGCGCCCCGGGAAAGGGACTCGGAGAAGGGAGAGACGGGCATTGATGGGCGGAGGAGCAGGGGCGGGGCTCAGAGGAGGTCCCCCGCGGGCTGGTCCCTGGGCAGACAGGAAGTGCCCACCGGTCTGGGGCGTGTCACACGCAGCAAACGTCAAGGCATCTGTGGGGAATGGCAGACAGTGCTGTCGCAGTGGCACCGAGGGACCGCAAGGAGCTGAGGCTGCTGAAACATGGGAGGGCCGGCGGACTGACAGGTCCGAATGTCGGCTGCAGGGTCTGGCCTTTCTAACCATGAGAAATGGGCGTCGTGAATGGGTTTCGAGCAACATTATGAGATGTACATCCCACGGCACTGACTCCAGGGATGTACAAACCTTGAGGGGAGAGAGGAGCAGGCAAGGCAGGGGGGTCGCTCCTGATAGAGACCACAGGGGAGACAGCAGTGGCCCGAGGCCCTTCGGTAGCTGCCCACGCCTCCCCAATCAGGTCCTGACTGCACACGTGGCACCCGGTGGCCGCTGTCCATCTGTGTCACCCCCTCCTCTCACTCAACCTCCCAGCCGAGCTGAGGGACTCTCCCTCTCGTTCATCCCCCACCCAGCCTCCCCACTGTCTCCCAGTACCTCTGGGTGTCAATGCGCCTTCGCTTCCACACGCCCCGTGGGCGGCTGCACCACCTACCTCACTATCTCACCATCCCCTCCCCCGGCTTCAGAGCCCAGAGAGGACAGAGACTGAGCCTGGAACGTTACCTCCTCCCAGTACCCAGCGCACTGCCTGGAAGCTTCTTACATGAGGAGCCCGATGAATATTTATTTGTTAAATGAATCAAAACAGACCTTGGGGTTGGTTTTGGGGGGCGGGGTCTTTCAGTACTTGCTAAAGGATCAAAACAGAAAGGAGGGTGCAGGGAGACAGAGGAAGAGAAATATCACTCAGTCACCTCTTGCATGGGCCCTGACCACGGACCAAACCCACACCCTAGGCACGTGCCCTGACTGGGACTTGAACCCATGACCTTTCTGTGCAGGGAGCAACATCCCAGCCAAGCAAGCCACACCAACCAGGGCCAGGACTTGGTGTTTTTTGAAAGTATTTAAATACAGAGTAATTTCTAAATAAGCTAAATCATAAAATCTTCATGGGAAAATTCTGAGCAGCTAAACAAATGCATCTTTACTTCACATTCAAAGACACGGTGAGGAGGCCCGCTTTCTGATCTCATCTTCCCTTCCTAACCCCCCGACAGGCGTTGTGAAGTCCGCCCTATCCTGCTTCTGAGAGCACTGACTTCCAAGAACGCCCGTCTCAGAAACTTGCCACTGGCAGAAGAGCCCTCGGGAAGGAAAGAGGAACCGATTCCCTGTAGAAGCTTCATAAAACGTTGGCCTGTTGAGAGCTCCTCTGAGCAGCAACTTTTCCAGCAAAAGTTTAAACTATATTTGCAAACAACATTTAAGTGTTTCTCTGTAAAACATTATCTCCTTGCCAGAGAGAGGGAAACGGCCTATCTTAGCTCTAAAACAAGGAGGTCATCAATCGTGGAAGGAAAAGTAACTTGAATAATACGGACTGGGCATCTGTACCCCGCACTTTTGCGCTGGCTGTTTTATACCCATCATCTCTTTCCCCACAACCTTCTGGTCCCATATATCAGAAAATAAAAGTATGGCTTAGAAAAAAAAACCCTAAAGTAAATAATTTCTCCAAATGCAGCAAACTGCATCTTGAACTTCAACCCATCCAACTCCAAACCTACGCTCTAGCCATGAGGCCAAAAACTTGAATCGGAAATAAAAATAAATGGAAAAAATTGCACAACTCGAGCTGACAGAGTTTCATTTGTATCAGTCTGACTCAGACCCTGTCTGAAAACAAGTCTGCAACATCGAACAACGGAATGTAGCGAGGAGACTAGCAAGGAAAGAGGCGAGGACCACCAAACACAGAGTCAGGGGGGTGGCCAGAACTGCAGGAACGCTGGGCTGAGCCCATCCCTGGCTGCACCCAGGCTCCCAGCACACACCTGCTCCAGGGGCCACGGGGCCCGCAGGGGGAGGCACTTCCGAGCCTGGAGGAGCAGACGCTGCAAAACAGGAAGCAGACGCCACAGCATCTGGGACCCAGCCGTCCTAGATGACAGCAGCTCCCTGCACATCGGGCATCTCCGCAAGCGCAGTCAGCTTTACACCAAAGGCATGACAAGGCCCCAAGGCATTCCCGGTCTGGGCGACCGTCCCAACACCATCAACACTGGGAGGACTGTCATCAGCAGCTCCCTTTCACCATCCCTAAGGAGGCCTCACCTGGAGTCACCATCTCCCTTGCTGATCACTGAGCCCCTGGAAGAGCGTCCCCTCTGCTGATGCCCCTGCCAAATGCTACCCACACTGTGGAGCTCAGGGGAACGTCAGCCTTTGCCCCAGAAGCAGCTGGCAATTGCTTGTGCCCACGGTGGTCTCTGCCCACTCTGCCCACAAACACTGGCCCACTCAGCAGTCAGCGACCTGCCTATCAGGATGCTCTCAGGATGGATGCATTTTACTCCAGTGTGCCGGTCACTCTGTCCTATAGCTGCACTAACAAAATACCCACCTTTGCTGTTCCAGGCACCGAAGACGCAGGAACGGTCAAATCCCAGCCTGCCCCGTGGGTCCCACCGTCCAGGGGAGGATGGATAACACATAATAAAACTGTACAAGTACAGTTACCATTGGAGGGCACAAGTACGATCCAAAGCATCGCTATCACATCGCCCTGTTCATTTCCTTCATAGCATTTAGCTCAGTCTGAGGCCGTTATGAGTGTTTCTTGTCCTACTGGTGGTCTGTCCCCACGAGCAGACACCAGGGCAGGAAACTCGTCTGTCTGGGTCACCACTGTGTCTCAGCATTCCGTATGGACGTGGGCACGGAGACACGCTCATTAAAAGCTCTATTTGTGGAAGGAGTAACGAGGGGCAGTGAAGCTGTGTCAGGAACTCGGGGTACTCAGCCCAACCTGGAGGCCCAGGCAATGGGGGGACAGTGAGGAAGGCCCACCGGAAGGGGTGAGGCACAGTCCAGTGGGGGAAGCAAGATGTGCAAAGGTAAGAAACGGCAGTCGGCATCACAAAGGGGGGTACCACACCCCTAAATATTACTGCAGACCAGCTATTGTCAAAGAGGGTGACCTCCCTGAGGGACTACGTGGCAGTGCCTGGGGACCATGTTGATCACCATGATTTGGGGCAGCAGGTGCTACTGGCACCTACTGGGTAGGGTCCAGGGAGACTGCGGAGACCCTAAAGTGCACAGAGCAGCTCCCCCACAGTGGAGAATTATTGGGTCCCCTGCGGTCTAGCAACCCAGCTGTTGCTTAACGTTCAAGGGATGCAGTGCTCAGAGAACATGAAAGCTTTCTTCTGAACTTCATGATTTCTACTTACACCGTTTTTCTTCTTTCAATTAGAACTTGGACCAATTTGGTGGCAGTATTTACTTGCCACCGCCGCTAACCTCCAAGAAGGGAAATATTCAGTGCATATGTCCAGAACCTATCAGACCTCTATTGTAGCCAAAACAAGACTTTCGGCAGACTTCGCTGGTCATCCCCAGGGACACAGCACCATGTCCGCCCACGAGGACTCACCGCTTCCCCTCTAAACTCTAAAACTCCAAACTCTGCACCCCATGTGCAAGGCAACGACAAGCAGAAAGATGAGGACAACAAAAAGTGCTCAGCAGCACCAGAGACACAGACAGACAGACACACAGAAGGATGGACACGCAGATTTTCCAGCATGGCAAAAGACTGATTCTTTGGAGCTCCAAAGGTGTGTAGCTGCGCTTGGCTCACTTTTCGACAAAAGGGGAGTTGGCCTGAACGCCGGCGCCCCTGACCTGTGCTCTGTTATGCGGCGGGGGGTTGGGGGGAACTGTTGTGAAGAATGCTTAGAAGAAGCCATCTCCCCGGGACTTTAGACCCTTGGCAGGGTGTCAGGCAGCTGGGCCTGATGGAGCGACAGGAGCTGGGAAGTCAGCGAAGACAACGTCCCCTTTGTCTAGAAGCAGCAAACCCAGCAGGGCTGAGCCTGTTCTTGACAATGGAACCTGCGGTAGGTCCAGACCTTGGTGGGGCCTGACCCCCGTTCACCTTCTCTTACTGCTTCACAACTGCTTCTCTTCAGCTAAAAGGCTCAGTGTATTTTTTGCCTCTGGGAGACTATTCAGTATTCTCTGAAATGCATAAACTGTGACTCTAAAAGAACAAAAATGAATCACAGTTTTTTTCTGTTGTAAGAGACCCAGTAGTGGTACGTTTCTGAAAAGTAGGTCCCGGCACTCACAAGGGTTATCTGTGAGACGTCTCGGCTTCCACTGGGACAGAAAGCTTCCAGGCTCCCTCGTCTCTGGAGTGGGCGCACGACCACCACCCGCCTTACCGGTCCCACGAGTAATCCTAAAACGGGCTTATTTAAACAAGAAACACTCACAAATTATTTAGTGAATGGAAATTCAACTTCTATCCAAAGTTTCACGGCACTACCCGGTGGGTGGAGGAACAAAAGACAGACGCTTCCCGCTCCCAGACAAACACGGGCCTTGTGTCTAACACGCTGACTCTGTACAGGCCGGCGCTGGAAAGGAGGGGCAGGCTGCCCTACAAAATGGAAATAGAAACCCAAGTAAATGTGTTACAGTTCTAAGCAAGATCTGCAGTCCTCGGAGTAGAAGGATATTAGTGCGGGCAGTTCCAGCTGGCAAATGAAGTGTCCTCCCAAAGTTCGTTTTGCAACTCAGGTGTTTGGAACTTGCCATGCAAGCCCAGAAAAGCTGGTTGAATTTACAATATCTCCAGCGTACCATACCCTTAGAGGGAAAACAATAAAAGGCAATGTTTTACTACCATTTTTTTAAAATATCAAAATGCTTATAAAAACAAATGCACAGCTGCCACTAGCCTTGTCATGAGCCAGGCCTGGACCCCTGCGATCCGAGTTGTCACCTCAGCGGGGTCCTGGGAAACTGAAAGGGGACAATGAGAAGAACCCCAGCTCCAGCGGGTTCTGCTGGGAAGAGGGAGGAGTCCGGCATCTCGCATCCAGGAGCCAAGGGCCTGGTACCTGCCAAGGACATACACTGACAAACAGATGTGCTGTCGCCTCTAGAAGGGCACAGGGTATGTGACGGAACCGGGAGCTGCAGCCGAAGAGAAATGAGCCAGCCCATGGCCACCAGGGAGGAGCGGGAAAAGGGGGTTCCCAGCATGCTCTGCAGCTCTGTGGACACTCGGAGGCAGGAAGGGAGAATTTCCTATAGTTGGCAACAGTTGGTTTAGGGATGTCCGGGGCCACGTTTAACTCTAATAAACGTACTAGGTCAGGAAGAAAGTTCCTGAGCTTTAAGAGAGTGACTTTTGTGTCAACAGATGAGGTTACATAATCAGGTTTCTGGTGTCTTGGGGACAGAACAGGGCAAGGAAGAGAAAGACCAGGGGGAATGTGTTACTCGGCAGACACTCCCGCCCCTTTCAGAGCAGGAAAGAACCTTAGTTCCCAAGAGCTGAAGAATACTAACCCTGGGCCCATGCCAATACAAAAGTGATGCAACACCCTGAAACCGGTTTAAAATGAGAAGGTTTATCACTTATCCATTCTGTACCTTCTTTAATCCTCCAAATAAAGTGCCAATCGCCAGGTCAAATTCTTGGTCCAATTGCTCTTCATGTTCTGACAAGAAAAACAGAATCCGTTAGTCACAAATCTAAATAAAACTGGGTTGGCTTCACTACAGAGGCACTAAAAGAAACTGGACTATGTCCTGGAAAAGATGCTGTGGACTGAGCCACAAGCATGGAAATGTGTCCCAGTCCTTGATCTTCCTGTCCAGGTTTCTGTGAACGAAGTTCCTGGGCGTAGGTGGTGGGGCAACTGGAAATGTCCCCTTCCACTTGTCATAAGGCTCACAAGAGGAGAGGTGTCAAGTGAGAAAGCTTCCAGCCCAGGGACCCAGAGGAGGGGTCAGTGCAAATGCCCCTCTTGTGCAGGCAGTAAAATTTCTTTAAACAGACCATTCCACACAGTGGTGGTGATCACAGCCTCATGATATGATATAATGCTAATGAGATTATAAAATGGAATCATATAATACTAACAGGTATGTTTATAAGTAAACAACACCATTGGTTTAAAACAAAAGGTATAATAAAACCTTCACTCAAATACTTCTTGAGAGTGTAACAATAACCAGGCATAGTGTGAGGTACTAGGAACGAAACAGATCAAGCCCAGCATGTCCTCTGCCCTCCTGGGGACTAGGTAAGAAAGACGAATTTTTTATTACAAAAAATAATAATAGTGCTGACGAGTGCCATGATATAGGAAGTCGGGGAGCTATGGAGGCTGAGTTTGGGGCGTCCACGTGACATGCAGTCGGAAGCTGGGGGAGTGTACGCAGTGCTCAGGGGGCCTGAAGTTGAAGATGAAGACTCAGGGGTCCTCAGGATAGGGGTGATGAGGGAGCCTCCAGAATGGCCAACGCCACCCAAAAAGGCACAGAGTGCAGAGACGAGAACAGGAAAACCGCTGCTTATTGGACCAACAGAAGTACGAAAACCACAGAAGACCGAAAAGGCGCTACCTGGAAAGATCAAAGGAAAACCAGAAGGGAGTGTGTTACTAAAACGTAATCATGAAATGATGCTGATCTGCTGTGGGACCAAGGGGCAGATTCACACACACTAGACACAGACAGGAGCCCCGCCTCGTCCCAAGGCAACACTGCCCCAGGGAGGCTACCAAGCCCCGGGCCAGGGCACGGCCAGGCCCAGCTCGGCCACACTCTCACATGGCTTTCCAGTGTGGTCCGGGAGGGGCTGGAAGTGTGTGGTTGCAGCGGGGCCCAGTCCTTTCTGCTACAGCCACGTGCATGCCACACTGTGTGTGTGTGTGTGTGTGTGTGTGTGTGTGTGTGCGCGCACACACGCACGCATGCTGTGTTGTGCACAGACTCAAGTCCAAGGGAACAGCCAGCAAACAGCAAGCTACAGCAATCCAGCCAAGAAGTAACAGGAACTTCCTGATTCATTAACACAAATTGGGTGGAAAACCTCCCTGCTTCTGGCCTCTTCGGTTTTAGCTTCACTTTTATACACAGAGCAACCTCCAGAGGCATCAGAATTATGCAGACTTGAAACAAGGCAGAAACTTGAGTTCTTTTTTCTTTTTAAAAAGACTCCATTCAGAAGCAGTGAAGTTCACAGGCCAAGCGGCAGGCGTCCTAAAGCTGGAGCACATCTCCCTCTAGTGGGGAAAAGGAGTCCTACACAGACGGAGAGTCAGGACAACATCCTGTCCAACACTGTCCAACTGAAATCCTGTCTCACTCACATTTATCATACAAAAGGTTTTAAAAAGTAATATAAATTTTAGTCTACTTCTTTTATCTAATATACCCCAAACATCATTGCAACATGAAATCCATATCAAACAATTATGAATGAGCTGCTTTACGTACCTTTTTTCTTACTAATTAATTCTTCAAAGTCCAAGGTACATGTTACCCTGACAGCACATCTCAGCTTGAAGCGGCCACCTTCCCAGGGCTCAACAGCCACGTGGCTAACGGCCACAGTGATGGACGGCACAGCTCTGCCAGCCCCAGCCTGGGCGGGTGTGAGTGTGGCCCGACACAAAATCGTGAGCTTATTTAAAACCCGTTTTATTTTGTTTTGTTCTGGTTTTGTTTTGTTTTTTTGCTCATCAGTTTTCATCAGTGTGTGTGTATTTAATGTGTGGCCCAGGACAACTCTTCTTCTCCGAGTGTGGCCCAGAGACACCCAAAGGTTGGACATCCCTGCTAGACCAAAATTCCCCCTCAGGTTTTGGAGAATTTCTACAAATCACCTTTGTCTGATTTCTTGACACAAACAAATGCCATATAACATATAGGTTAAGTTACAACTTAAATCCATTCACGACCATTTTGGAAATCAGTGTCTTCAGACTGCTTTAAGCTGGCTACAGAATTTGGTGGGCCCGGGGTAGGAGCTCCGCCCCGAGGGCCACGCCCCGAGGGCCTTCTCCGACCCCGCCTCCCAGGTAGGGATCCCTCGTTCCCACTCTGCGGGCGGGACCAGTGTTCAGGACTCACACAGGCACTCAAGCGGGAGGATGCCGCCGACGCAGAGTAGCCTTCTCTGCCGGAGAACTTCCCTCCTCACCACACGGCCCGAGACTCTGTGCTGCACAAAAGTGCCTGAGAGCATAGAAATGAAACAATTTCTGCTGATGAGCCCTCATTACTAAATCAGCTGTTGATTCTCCTCTCTCCACCCACCGCCCAATAAAAGGATACATCAAAACCCCGTTCTACCTACTGGGTAAGAGAATTTGCATTTTAATCGCTGCCAATGGGCTCTGGTGGTAAACCATTTACTCAAGAGCTCTAACTAACCTAACCCTTTCAGCCTCCACACTTTGTTGGGAAATCATTTGCAGGGGTGGGGAGGGGTAATCAGAGGGTAGTCATCAGCGATAGGACACCTGACACACTCTCTCGCCCTTCGGTGATACAAACCACTCCCAGGGAGTAGAGGCCTAATCATGGCTTCACATGTCCTGCTGCTTCTATGCATCTGAACAATTCTAATCAGCTCCTACTGGTTCTTTATTTTCTAGGAAGCCTGTGGGTATAGGACACTGTGGCAGTAATGAGAATAGAGAAAGGGAGCAGAAAAGATGGGTTTCCAAAGACGAGATAATTCAATGGTGAGCAACTCTCAAATATTCCTATAAAACATCACACAGAAAAGGGAGAATAAGGCGTCGTTGGCATGGAGTCCTGAGGGTTCCTGGGGGAAGCAGAAGATGCCCAGACTGAGATGGTCCAGCACAGAAGTCGCCATAGGCCCTGGGCACGTACTTCGTACCTGATCCAACGTGGAGCACTGGCTGGGGGAGCAGGGAGCGAGGGGCTGCGGAGTCCAACACCAGGGTTGCCTTCGAATGCCCCACTGCCCAGGCCCTGGCCCTGGCCCAGGTCATTGTGAGCGGTTTATTAAAAGCCTTAAGAAAGCAGACTCCCTGGAAGCCGACACTCCCCTCCCTTGAGGACCCGTGTCAACACAGGAGGACAATGCCAGTGTGAGCCTGGAGGAAGGGGTGGGCTGGGAGCCTTGGAATCCCAGTGGGAAGGTGGCTGTGAACAACGCTACTGTTTTCTCTGACCCTACCCCTGGAACGGGAAACAAAGGACAAATGCAACACAAAGGGCCAGGGCACTCCGGGCCTCGGCGGAGCCACAACGCCCACCACTAACGAGGTCCCTCGCACAGTCTGTCCAATCCTGGACTCCTGCTTGGATGATGCACTTGGGTCCTTCCACAAAGTACAGGTAAACTGAAAGGCCCAGGGTGGCCCAATCCACGGTCAGCCAACTCTCCCAGTTCCCAGGTCAAAGTCACCTACTCACAGACAAAACCAGTAAGTAAGTAACCTTTGTCTCCCTACCCTGAACTGGGCTCCCCAGAGTTACTGGCCACTTTGCAACCAAATTCCTCTAACCACAAAAGCAAATAGGAAAAATTGCATCCTTGTTAACAAAGCCCACCCCCTCCCAAGAGAGGTTGGTGTCTTGCATGAACAACGTAAAAGAATTCACCTGTAAATGAGTGGCTACATCCTTTCTCACAAATTGAGATCTGCGATAAACAGTTCCACAAAATAAGGGAAAAAACGAAAAGCTCCCTACTTCATTTTATAAAGTTAACAGAATGCTGATATTTGTCAAAAATATTTGTCAAAAAAAATATTGAAATCTGAGGATGAAACAAAAAATAAGACTACAGGGCAACCATTATCACTTATTTATAATTATTATTTATAATTATTATTTGTCAAACTTGGACACAAGCAGTACATTTAAAAATGCCGTAGTCACAGTGGGTTTATGGGAATCCATATAAATGATATTGGAAATCTATGCAATCACATAAATAGATACTCTAAAAATAGATAAGATTTAACATTTATTGCAGACTTTAGAAAGTTATGAGAGCAGGGCTAGCAAGATTTCCTAACATGATATTTTTAAAAGCAAAGGTTACTCAACTTTTCACTCATGTTAAAAATGATACAGGAATCCTGCCCTGGCTGGTGTGGCTCAGTGGAATGAGTGCCAGCCGGCACACCGAAAGGTCGCCGGTTCAATTCCCAGTCGGGGCACAAGCCTGGGTTGCAGGCTGGGTCCCCAGCTGAGGGTATGAGAGAGGCAACAGATCAATGTTCCTCTTCCTCTCTTACTCCCTCCCTTCCCAGCTCTCCAAAAAGAGATAAATAAATAAAATTGTTTTTAAAAATACAGAAATTTTCATTAAAGTTAGAATTAAAGTAAGGATAGCATTCTTTCCCAACTATTATATTGTTCTAGAAGTTCTAGCAAAGCAACAATAGATGAAGTAAAATCATTATCGCTCCTTGTGCGTGATAGTATCTAAGTACAGAAACCAGGAGAGTCAAACAAATCAATGGAACATCAGCATAATTTAATAAATTGTTAGAACATAAAATAAATAAACCAAAATACATATCTTTACTGTAGATAAGAAATAATCAGCTAGAAATTATAGAAAACATAATTGGAAATATTCCAATAATAAAAGGGAAAAAAGACTTAAGAAATCATCTTACTAGAAATTTTAGCAGGAATTATTATGAAGACCATGAACCTTCCTTAAGAGACAGAACAGAAAACCTTGTATAAATAAAGAAAAAATACCATATTCCTGAATGGAAAAATACAATATTCTAAAAATGTCAATTATTTTCAAATTGATTTCTAGGTTTGTTGTAATTTTAATAACAGCACTAATAAGTTTTCTTTTTGGAATTTCAAATATGCATCTGGAAGAATAAATCAATAAGAATGGATAAGAAAAGTGTGAAAATAAGGAATAATGAGAGGTAACTTACTTCGCCAGATACTGAAGCATTTAATAAAGCAAAAATAATTCAAGTAGTTTAGTACTGATGAGAGAATTGGTTGAGAAATCAAAGAAACAAACAAACAAAAAGACATCTCCATAAACATACTGGAGTACATATAAGAATTTAGTACAAGCCCTGGCTGGTGTGGGTCAGTAGACTGAGCGCCAGCCTGTGAACCAAGGGGCTGCCAGTTGGATTCCCAGTCAGAGCACATGCCTGGGTTGCGAGCCAGATTCCCCAGTAGGGGGCGCACGAGAGGCAACCACACTTTGACCTTTCTCTCCCTTCCCCTCTGTCTATAAATAAATAAATAAAATCTTGTAAAAAAAAGGACTTAGTGCACGATCAAGATTGCATCATAATTCAATACAGAAAAGAAAGATTCAATAAACTGTGTTTGGCTATCTATTGGGGAAAAATAATAGAACTCTTCGCCTCAGGTTAAATACCAAATACATGTGAGATGGCTTACAGGACAGAAGCTGGACTTCCTGAGACCACAACAGGACGGACACTGTCCGATAGGAGAAGTGGCACGGCCTCCTGGGGGACAGCCCGGGCAGCTCTTTCAAGAACCTTAAAAACATTCGTGCAGTCCGACTGCATAATTCCTCTTCTGGAAATCCTCCAGACAAAACAATCAGACAAAATACAACAATACAAGCAGATTCCTTACAAAATAAATGAGCTAAACATTCAACTCAAGAAGCTGGAATAAAAAAAGAACAGAGCAAGCCCAAAGAAAGAGTAAGGAAGGAATTAATAAGATAAGGCAGAAATCAATGAATTAGAGAATAAGTGGGAAAAATTAAGAAATTTAACAAAGCCAAAAGATGAGTAAGATCTCTGGCACACTTGAGCAACAGAAAAAGAACAGGAGGGAGAGATGAACAAGGGAGGAAGGCAGTAAAGGAGAAAATGGAGGTAAACAAAAAAGTACAATAAGAAAGAAAAGCCAATTACAGAACTAACAATTAAAATGTTATGAACCACAATACACTAATGAAACTGCAAACCTACATAAAATGCATAGACCCCTTGAAAACTAAGAAATGTCAAAACAGCTACCAGGAAAAATAGAAAATTGCTATATAAACTGTTAGGTAGCAAATTGAAACAGTAGTTGAAAGACTTCCCCTCGCAGGTAGGCGCCTTTCCAGGTTTGCACTGAAGAGAGCTGCATTAAACTGACGGAAACACAAAGGTACACGGCCCTCCTCTAGGCAGGGGTTGCCGACCGCACGGCCACTGCTCAAGTTAAGAGTAAGCTGGGAGAAGTAAGTGTTTCCACCTCTACTAAACCAGAAGCATAGACCGAAAGCTGTAGGTCTGGATTGGCCACAGAGCTGCATTCAGAGCCCGTGAGGGGAGGTCAGCAGGCACAGCAGCAGCACCGACCACCCCAAGCATCTCCACATGCCTTTGAGATGCTCAATGCTTGGTAGAGCTGGGAGGAACAAGCGGTGTTCTGTTCAGTCCCTGCTGTGGGTTTACCCGAGATTCCATGGCCCGGGGCTGTTAAATTCAGTCTGCCGCCCCCAAGGGCCTGACCACCCTGCCACTGCTGACCGAACAGGGCAGTACACAAGCTCCACGCCCAGAGAACCCAGCTGTGCAGACGCCCGCCGGCAGCATTTCACTAAACAAATACGTTGTGAGCCTCTGGTGTGTTCCAGGCCCTATGTTTGCTCCAGATACAAACGACCCAACAAGTTCACAAAGGAGAGTTTTTCCAGTGACCTACCTCCATAATGCGTGTAAGTAGCTCTTTTTCCTGGACTAGGAAGTAAGAGATGGAGCCAAAACTCAACACTGGACCAGCTAAGCACACACCTTGGCCAGGCAGGGCGATGGGCTTCCGCGTGCTGGACTGGCAAAGGCATTGGAAAGAAGCCGTGTCTCGGGAGCGCCCAGACCCTTTGGCACTGACATTAAAAGGAAAAGTATAAAAGATACGGGAGCTGGAGGCTAGGGAGCGGTCAGTAACGAGCCAAACAGCAGAATAGCCCCTGAATCGGCGGAGGTGCAGAAGGGTTTTCTACTACCCACAAAAGGATCCCCTTCCACCCCTGTCCCCGTAGCTACCATGACACAGAAAGGAGAAGTTTTATTCCCATGGGATAACATTCTAAAGTTTACAGTTCAGTAGTAACATAGACAAAAGGGCCTCACCTTTAAAGCAAGGTGCGTTAGGAAATTCAATTATCTATCCATAACAGGGGGCAGAAGAGATTGAATCTAGAACACAAAATATTGAATCTAGAGTTTAAACCCGGCCCCATTACTTATTAGACGTGTGACCTTGAACAACTTATATTTTTCAGCCTCACTGAGGTGAAGTGTAACACCCAACGTGGTAGTGAGACTCCAAAGATGGCCGTCCACAATGCCTTCTCCCCCAGACATATGTTCTACTCCAGCCATAAAGAGGTGTAGTCTTTCCTCCCCTTTAGTCTTGACTGGCCCTGTGATTTGCTTTAACCAATACATGAGACAGAAGAGATGGATACAACTCCCCAGGCTGGGCTGTAAGAGACCTGAAGCTTCTGCTTTTGTGTGCTTGCAACGCTCCCTCCTGGGACCCCGCTGTCCTGTTAGGAGAAATGTAAGCCATGTGAAGAGCTGCTTGGAGAGAACCACAGCCCGCCAGCTGACGGCCCCCAGCTGAACCCTCGGCTGACAGCCAGCCGTGTGTGTCAGCCATGGCGACATTTCAGCCCAGCAGAGCCCCAGATGAAGGCAGCCCCAGGTAACAACACATAGAGCAGAAGAACTGCCCCGCTGAGTCAAGTTCAGGTCCATTAAAAACAAAGTCTCACCAAACACAGAACTCAATTACCAAAATCCATCACATCAAGAGGCTAAGAAAGAAAAGCCATATGATCCTATCAATAGATGCATAAAAACTAGTTGACAAAATCAAACACTCCTTTATGATTAAAACACTCAGCAAATTAGAAATGGAGGGGAACTTCCTCAACTGGATAAAAACATCTGCAAAAACCTACAGCTAACATTATGCCTCATAATGAGAAACTAGATGACTTTTCCTGACTAGGTCAGGAAGAAGGAAAGGATGCCCCCTCTCACCCCTCCTTTTCAGTCTCATGCTGCAAGTCCTAGCTAATGCAACAAGACAAGAAAATGAAATAAATCGTACACGGGACGGAAAGGAAGAAATAAAACTGTCTTTGTATGCAGATAGCATGGCTATCTATGAAAAAAACCCAAAGAATTGAGAAAAAATCCCGGAACTAATAAGAAATTAGAGCAAGATTGAATGAATCTATTGCTTTCCTATGTCTCGGCAATGGTCAAGTGGAATTTGAAATGAAAAACAATAACATTTACATTAGCAGCCCCCCAAATGAAACACTTAGATATAAGCCTAAGCAATATGTATAAGTTATAGGTGAGAAAAATTAGAAAATTCTGATGAGAACTCAAAGAACTATTACTAAGATGTCAGTTCTCCCCAACTTGATCTATAGATTCAGTACGATCCCAATCAAAATCTCAGCAAGGTATCTTGTGGATATCACCAGATTTTAAAGTTTATATGAAGAGAAGAAAGATCCAGAACAGCCAATGCAATGTTGAAGGAGAAGAACAAAGCCAGCAGACTAACCACACCCAACTTTGAGACTTAATATAAAGCCTCAGTATTCCAGAGAGGGTGGCACTGGTGAAAGATGAAAAATAGATCCATGGGACATGACAGAGGTCCCAGAAATAGACCCACATAAATGTAATCAACTGATCTCTGACAAGGGAACGAAGGCAAAACGATGGAATTCAACAGTCTTATCTACAAATGGGGCTGGAACGACTGGACATCCACGTGCCAGAAAATGAATCCAGACACAAACTTGACAACCTCCACAAAAATCAACTCAAACGGATATCACAGACCTAAATATAAAATGCAACACTACACCCTCCCCCCGGAAGACAACATAGGAGGGACTCTAAGTAACCTTGGCTGCAGCACCAAAGGCTCAATGCATGAAAAAAATTGGTAAACTGGACTTACTACAATTTAAAATCTCTGCTCTGTAAACGACACTGTCAAGAGAATGAGAAGACAAGCCACAGTCTGGAAGAAAATGCTTGGGAAAGACTGACAAAGGACTACAATCCAAAATAGGCAAAAAAAAAAACCCATTAAAACTCCAGCATAACAAAATGAACAATGTGATTAAAATATGGCCAAAAACCTGAACAAATACCTCATCAACAAAGATACGTAGATGGAAAATAAGCCCATAAAAAGCTGTTCCATGTCATACGTCATCAGGGAAATGCAAATTAAAACAACAAGTACCGCCACACACCCAGGAGAGTGGCCAAAATAGGGACACTGACGACAGCAAATGCTGACGAGGACGCGGAGTGACAGGAACTCATTCACTGCCACCGGGAGTGCGGTACAGACGCCTCGGCCACCACCCAACCCAGCCATCACCCCTTACCTCTGGAGGCTTTGTAAACTTCATAGAAAGAATAGAAGTGGAAGCCGAGTGCAGCAAGCACGTAAAAAGATAGTTCCCACCGCGGCAGCATTGCTCGTGCCAAGTGGTGCCAGTGCCCAAGGTGAGGGTCTCTAGACAGAGAAAGAGAAATAAAAACGTTAGGCCATGGACATGACACTGGAGAATAGCACACTGTCACCACCAGTCAGTTCACTCGTTCTTCCAGGGACTCGTCACCATTGGAGGTGAGACCTCCTCCTGCCAGTTACCTTACACACATGCACATATACACACATGCACATGCACACACATGTACATGCACACAACCCGCTGCTCCCACAGTCCTCATCCTTCCCCCCTCACACTGTGCACCAGACAGCTCTGCCCTCACTGTCCGACACACCTGTCTGCCCCCATGGAGTGGACCTTTAGGGGGCAGCAACCATGGTCTCTGGGTCCCCAGCACCTCGCACAGGGTGTGTGATGTAGCAGGAAGACAACGGGTCGCTCCATAAATAAAAATGCCTTCAAAATCCTGATCAAAATAAAAGTAAAACTCATCTCCAACCTCTTCTAAGCCATGAGCGTTAACCTCCTCGTTCTCTGTCAGATGTCACCCCACAGTCACCCCATGACACTGCATCAACGAGAACTGCTGTGTCCTCCGTGCTGTGTGCACCACAAGGGAAGCTCATGACACAACCCAGGCAGCGACAGCAAACACGGCTGGCTGCCCACCCTGCGAGAGTCACTCTCCCTTCTTACAAAGTAACTGAGTTTTTACCTGACCACGAAGATGCTGAGCTCAACTCTATGTTGCAGCCAGGTGGGGACATTCGAGCTGTTCCAGCCAGGAGGCTGTGGTCACCTCCCTCCTGCCGGGTGGAACTGGAATAGCCACCCTGGACCAAGAGGCAAAGCCACGTGGAAAAACAAGGTCGAGGTGCCCCAGCCCCTGACTCCCCCAGGTCACTTAAAACTGGGCTATTGCATGAAAGAGAAACACTATTCTAGATCTCTCTGTTATGGAGGCCATGTGCTCCTTCAAATAAGAGGGCCAGTGACGGTGAGTTAGGTTCTAAAGTTCTGCCAATGACACGGTCAGTTCCCCAGCAACAAAGAGCCAGCCTTTCGCGGCCCTCACTCTTCACTCAGACCTCTCACGCACGTCTCGCTCTGAATGCCAAGTTAACTTAAGGGCAAATTTGAAGCCCAGGCAAGTTCTTCTTCTACTGTGTGGCAGTAATGCCAAACCAGAACTCACAGCCGCCTGGTGAAGTATGTGGCGCAAGGGAGGCAAGCATTTCGCAGATGGCAAATGTGAAACAGGCCAGGCCGCACGGTCAGAAGTAACTGAGTCAGAGCTCGGCTCCAGGTCTTGGGCCCACCGGGCCCCCACCTGCGGCCTGAGCCAGGGCCCTTAAGGAGATTCTCGTCCTCAGACCCTGGCCCAGAGTCGGCCACACGCAAACCCCCTTCTTCCGGCTAAAGGAAGACAGGCCAGGAACGCCTGTCCACTTGGGCTCTCAGAAAGTGTGAGCTCGGAAGCCGGTGGCCCTGCCGCAGGGGCTCTGGAAGTCAGCTCAGTCTGGGCTTCTCCTGCGCCCTGAGACCCAACAGCATGCGCCCCGCTGCCACCCACGAGCAAGCCGATTCCTTGCACTTCAACACGCCTCCCAGGTCCGCCTGCTGTTTGCCAGAACCACTTCCAGCTTCATCCATTCCTTGTCACATCATTTTTAAATTCCCGTCCTCTCTTAGAATATCTTAAATTTTCTTTATGGAACTTCATAGAAATAGGGTAGCCTTCCCCTTAGAGGGATATTAACTTGGCCTCTGGGTTTTACGATGTCTCCCCTTTCAAAGAAGGCCACTATTATATTGGATGACCTCCTCAACACAAACCAACCCCTTCGTTAAGATCACAATTAACGCGCCCGGGGAGCCGCGGGAAGGGGCCCCAGAGCCCAAGAATCAGCAATTAATAAAGAGCCGAGAGTTCCACTGAAATCTGAACACAAATAATCTTGGAGACTATAGGAAGGTTCTAGAAACCCTGTTCTGTAGACACTTTTCAAGGACACTGTCTTCCAGACACTTCATCCCTCTGCATCCGTGAGTTTACTGTCAGGGACCTGGAGAACTCGGGGAGACAACATTTCCCCGTTTGCCGCAGCTCTTAGCTGTATTGACACGCACCCTGCAGACCTGCTTGGGACTCCTGACCTCCAGAGCTGCGAGCTGGTTTGTGCTGTTGTAACCCACGACGTCTGTGGTCCTTTGTTAGGAAGCCACAGGAAGCTACTACGCCATCCCTGCCTAGTGGAGGGAAAGTCCCTAACTGAAAGGATTTATATACAACAGTAGACTATTTTAATCCAATTGTTATAAAGTTAAATTGCAAGAAAATGAAATCTGAAAACAAAATTTTGTGTTCAGTCCTCACCTTAGCATTTTATTTTTGGTTTTTACCTCACACTGATATTAATCTTACCATCAAACACAATTCTTAAGTCTTTTTATATGAACTGCCCTTCAGCCAGTCGTCTGCTATTAGAGGCTGGCAATAAGGAGTGAGTTCCACAAATCCCCAACTCAGAAAAGCTCCTGACGTGATATTGTATTCTTTCCCCTGCAGATTCCCTACTTATTTTCAACCTTTTTTAATCACCAAGAGTTATGCCCATCACATCTGACACTCCCCAGATCAGGGGCATCTGAACGAACCAAATACTTGATAATATTTTAAGCAAAGTTTGTATTAAAATATACTTAAAGAAAAAAAATTTAAGATTTTCCAACAGCAGACTCACTTCAATCATTACCACTCAGATTTAAAAAAAAAAAAGCCTCAAAACCTCCTTCTGTCCTTGGCTTGAAGTCCTGACCACTAGCCCGATAGCTATCACCCTCGCTTATTTAATTTTGCCCACGTTTGAACTTCATGTAAATGGAACCACATGGAACTTCCTCCATGTGGTGTCTGCCTGCCTTTCATTTCGCTTTGTGTTTGGGGTTTGGCCATGTGGGAGGCAATGACCTGATCGCCGTCTCGACTATGGAGTCTTTCATTGTACAAACACTTCATGTCTCTACCCATTTGACTACTGATGAACGTGGAGCTGCTCCAACTTGGGGCCGTTACGAATAATGCTGCTCTGCATAGTCTTCTACGGGACGTAGTGCCCAGACATACGCCTCACTGCTAAGTGTTCATCTAAGAACAGACTAGCTGGGTCGCAGATGTGTATGTCCAGCTTCCCAGTCGGTGCTGGCACAGACACCTTCCAAAACAGTTACACGAAATTTCGTGGCCATCAGCCACGAGAGCCCCAGTCTGTCCATAACCTAACCAGCGCTCGGCACTGATGGTCTCTTTAATTTTAGCCACTCTGGGGAGCATGTACTGCTATCCCACGGAAGTTTTAATGTGCATTTCTCTAATTGCTGATGAGGTGGACCGCCTTTCCATATGTTCCTTGGGAATTTGGAGACCCTCTTTTATGAAGTGACTTGCCATTTAATGTAAAAGTTGTCTCTACATTCGGGGCATGAGTTCTTTATCGAATGTTATCTATTACATTCCGTGGCTTGCCTTTTCTCTCTCTTTATAGAATCTTTAGATAAACAGAAGTTCTTACTCAAACTTCCCTTGATAATTAGTGCTTTTTGCATCCCATTTAACAAATCTTTGATTATACCTCAGCCGTAAAGACATTTTACTTTGCTCTCTTCCTGAAGCTATATTGTTTGAGCTCTCACTTTGAGCTGTATGACCTTTTTTAAATTGATTTTTTAGAGGAGAGATTTATTGCTCCACATGTTTATGTATTGATTGGTTAATTCTCTTGTTGCAATGTAGACAATAGATTTTAATGTGACAGATTAGGAAAAGTTCATAGATACCATTTCAAATTTCACATAGCAATTCATTGGTTGATTCTTCTATGTGCCCTGACGGGGATCAAACCTGCAACCTTGGTGTATCGGACGACGCTCTAAGCAGCTCAGCTACCCATCCAGGGCTGTGTGATGTATCTTGATTAATTTTTGTACATGGGATGAGGTACACGATCAAGATTCATCCTGTCCACATGGATGTATCCAATGGCCCAGCATCGCTTACGGAAGAGGCTGTCCCTTCCTGCACTGCACCTCAGGTCACCTGTCAGACGTGCCAGCTTGTTCCTGATCCTCCGCCCAGCTCCATCCTCTGTCTAGCACTGTGCCAATACCGTACTTACACACTGCATACTGATCCAGTAGCTTAGGTTGTTCAGCTTTGCTCTTTTTCTTAGATTGTCTGTAATTTCCACATAAATTTTAAAATGGGCTCATCAGTGCCTATTTTTGAAAAACGATTTGCTGGGATTTTTATTGGGATTATACTGAATCTATAGATTTATTTGTGGGGCAATGGCATACCTCTATTATTTTAAATTTTTAAATCTTCTCAGTGTTTTGGCTTGCAAGGAAATTTTTATCATGAATGGGTGCTGAGTTTTATTAAATAACTCAGTTTTATTTTCCCCTTTATTCTGTATATGTAGTTAAAGTACATTTACGGGTTTTCTAATGTTAGTTTACATCCCTGGAATACATCCCACTTGGACGTGGTTTAGTGTCCTTTCTATAGATGGCTAGATTTCATTTAGCAATACATCATTTTAAGACTTTCACATCTTTTTTGTGCGGGTTTAGCCTATTATTTTCTTGGAATATCCTTATCAAACTTTAGTAACAAGGTTACACTGGTCTCATAAAAGCAGCCAGGGCACATTCCTTTTCTATCTCTTTCATTTAATGTGATCTTTCACTAGCAAAGCCATCTGGGCTTGGAAAGTTTGCTATAGGAAGGTTTTTAACTACAAATTTAATTTCTTGAATAGACACAGAACTAGTTGGATTCCCTAGTTCTTATGTCTTAGGCAAGGCATTTCATCCAAAAAGCTTGTCCATTTTATATGATTTTCAAAGGTATTACTATACAATTGTTCAGAATAACATCTTAAGATCTCTTTTCCAAATGTCTGTGGAATATGTATGACAATTCCTTTTTCTTCCCTGGTACTGGCACTACCATAGGCCATTAAGGTTTATTTCCCTTCAAAAACAAAAACAAGAACGCCAGTTGTGCACTGCATGACACCCACCCACTATCACACGGACGGGTCCTCTCCAGCAGAATTACCCACAGAAGGAGTAGGGGGGCCAAAGAATGTAAAGAATCCGGCAATTCCCTCTCAGCAGCTCTTACCACCACAAACAACTGTGAACTTGAGCTCAAACTGAAAGAGAAGGAAACAGCTATGAGTAACAGTCTAGGGTGACCAGCAAGGACTCAGAAAGAAACAGCCACTCAGCAGGGTGTATATCCTAGGATATCCTCCAAGGTGTGCACAGGGAGAATTCAGGGGACCATGAACTTAAATTTTTTCTCACACATCTGTATTTTCATGAACCTCTACCAGGGGTGTCCAGCCTTTTGGCATCTCTGGGCCACACTGGAAGAAGAAGAGTTGTCTTGGGCCACACAGTAAACACACAAACGCTAATGAAAACTGATGAGCAAAAAAAAAGGGGTTTAAGTAAATTTACAACTTTGTGTTAGGCCACATTAATGGCCATCCTGGGCTGCACGTGGCCCGCGAGCTGCAGCTTGGACACCCCTGCCACTGAAATTCAGGATTTCGTTTGGTTATAGGTATGGACAACAAACGATACCAATAACAGCAATTCTGGTCACACTGTCACCAGGAAGACTCACGGTCATTTTCCTACCCCAGTGCAGCTGTTGCAAATATCACAAAATATTATTTACATGGGCCTCACTCTGAAAGTGGGAGTTATTTCATACAGCACTGAATTTTGTTACTTAATGCACTAATAAAAAATATAAAGTACTCAATTACAAATTTGATTTCTTCACATGGTTTTTGATAATTTTGTTTCAATATAATTTTTTACCCTACGAACTTTTTTTTAAAAATTTTCATCAGTGTATGGTTGCCTTTCGTGCATCCCCTGCTGGGAACTGGCCTGCAGGGAACCGGTCTAGCAACCCAGGAATGTGCCCTCACTGGGAATCGAACCGCGATTGTCTGGTTCACAGGCCCGTGCTCAATCCACTGAGCTACACCAGCCAGGGCTCCTATGAACATTTTTAATGCCTTTTAAAAACTGGCTTCCCCATACTCCAAAGAGGTCAATGGTACCTTTAAAAAAGGCACAGAAACCCTACAAGATATTAATGACTTCATCCAAGCCAGGGAATTCCCATGCAACAACTCGGGGCACATTCCATGGCCCTGAGCTGGAAGCAGGAAACACACAGGTGAGTAAGGCCCACCCTGGTGAGCTCCTGATGTTAACCTGAAGAGTCCCCACCAACATCTAGCCACCCACAAAAATGACTGCTCTCATTGGGGACTTGGCCTTCACCGTAAGTTAGTCTATACAACCTTCTTCCCAAAAAGGGAGCAAAGTTAACAGTAGATAGAGCACAGGCTTTATTAATTCAAAAACTGGAGTCTTCCCAGCATTTACTAGTTTGTCCATTTGGCATCTCTAACTCTTTATTCTTCTGTAAAAACGGACCACACTACCTATCTTTCCACTTTAGAAATAAATTCATTATATCTAAATCTTCCAGGTACCAGAAAGTTCAGAAATAACAAACCTAAAGCATCTGGTAATAAGCACTCGTCCCTGTTAATACTAGTTGAATCTTTCAGGTCAGGACTCACTGGCTTACCCAACACTCAATCCCAGGTAGGGACGGCCACAGACATAGGAGGGAGGAAAGATGGAACATAAAGAATGGAAGGGGGAAAATCGTATTTATTCTTCAAGTTCCGGTATAAAAACCATCGCCTCCTCCGTGAAGCCTTCCCTCCGGGCTCTTGTGTTCCCACGGCACTTATCACATAGAAGTAAACGCCTACCTCTGCGAGTGAAAGAACCATACAAAACAGAAAGTAAACAGTGAGTCTCACCCTCTTCTAACGCAAACCAGCGAGGGTGCCAACCCACTAGTCTGAGTGCCCTGACCAAAGAAGCCATGAACCAAGGACGCGGCGTATTTCTTAAAACCAGTGCCACCCCAGGACCCCTCTCGCCCGCCTTGGTGGGGCTTTGCCCCGGGAGGAGGGCCTTTCCTCACGAAGGCCACTGCCATCTAAAGGCGAGATTTAGAAGAAAAAAGGGATACTAAGAATAGAGGGCAAAAAAAACCCATCTCTAACTTTGGAGGTCACTAGAGCCGCAGCAGTCGGGCAGAGGCACTTTTAGTACTGCGAAGGGGACCAGCGTCCGCAATTCCCCACAACCAGATGAAAAACGCGGGACGCAGCCAAGGGGAGGGGACACTGGCAGGGGCGTGCGTGGACGCCGGCCAGCGGCGGCCGGGGCCCTGTGCACGGTCACAGTCCCCGGCGCCTTTGTCTCCACTGCAGGACCAGAAGCTTCCCCCGTCCCATCCTCAGGAGCGCACGCAGGGGCCGGGGTAGGAAACGGAAAGCGTCTTGTGCATTTTTTTCAACCAACGCAAAAAAAAAAAAGTCACCAAAACGTCCCCGGGACCCGCTGCGGTCACCAGCTACCCACCTCCGGGCTGTCCCGGGCGGCGGCGGCGTTCACGCGCGCCCCGAGTTCCCAACACCCCTCTCCGCACTTCCAGTCAAGAGGTAGCAACGGGCCTGCCCGGGAAGCCGCCCTCTTTTCGGCGCGGCCGTTGGAGGAGCAGCCCGCGCGTGCCCGGAGCGCGTCCCCGCGTCGTGCCCGCGCGCCTTCTGCTCCAGACCGGCGGGCTTGCGCTTCCGCGGCGCCCCGGGATTGCGGCGGGCCGGCCGCCCTACCCGCTGGGACTCGCCAGAGGGCGGCCCACCTCTCCAGTCGGCGTGTGCACCGCGTCGTCCCCCGGGTCCCCCAAGCCTCGCTCGCACCGGGGTTCTGGGCTCCGGGCCCTGCGCGGAGCTGCGTCCGGGCCTCTCCCTAACCAGTTTGTTAATTGCAGGCTGGGACTGCTGGCGGGTTTGGGAAGGGAAGTCACCTGAAACTCGAAGGGGACGCTAAATCTCACCTCACTGGTCCCCACGTCCGCGTACGTTTTGTAGGCAAAAGGAAGTAGCTTGCTGAGATGAAAACCAGCCCTGGGGGCTCCCCGAGCTGGCTGTGTGGATTTAGCCTCTGTGTGCCTCCCTGTCCTCAGTAAATCAGAAATAAACTTCCCTGCTTTCATCGCGAATCAGAGAGAAGAGCAAACAGAATGCACTTGAACTGTAAACAACTTACAAAGATTATCCCCACCGCAAAATGTATGCCAGTGATTTCGAGTGGAGGCCTGAAGCTGCCTCGATGGGATGTAATTGGGAAAGTGACTTTATGCCCAGTGTTGTCAGAGGCCTCGGATGCCACCTTTGCCCGAGTTCCACAGATTTACAGAAGCAGGGGAATCGCCTGGCTTCTAGGTAAAACCACAGGCATCTGGATCTCTACTCAGACTCTCCAGAGGAAGGGTGTCTCAAGTGACCTGCCTAATTAGCAGGTCAATGTCAGAACTGCCATAGGCAGTAGGAAAATACAGAGGCTGTGCTCTAAATTTAATCTAGCACTCATTGAAATAGTCCAGGAGATTCTTTTTCTGGTTGCAAATTTCTCTGGGAAACCAGACAATAAACTCTCTAAGAAATGGAACTTCACCTATTCTTTCATTTCCCGGGTTTCCACCCCCGACACCTAGTACAGGATGGTACTCAGATGGGGCTAATAAACTAGCCCCAAGTAGGGGTACTAGATTTAGTAAATTAAAATACCAGATGTCCAAGTGAAATTGAACTTCAGATGAACAATGAATAGGCCTAACTATAGAATACGTCAGAGAGCTGACTATATATACATTTTCAACACATTCATCCATTGATGGACACTTGGCTTGCATCTACCTTGTGGCTGTATGAATAATGCCGCCATGAAACTGGGTATACAAGTATCTCTCTGAGACTCTGCTTCCGGTTCCTTGGGGTCTGTACAGAGAGGTGGAATTGCTAGATCATATAGTAATTCAGTCTTTTAATTTTTGGAGGAACCGCCACACCATTCTCCACAGAAGCTGCACCATTTTAAATGCCCGCCAACGGTGCACAGGATCCCATTTTGTCCACCTCCTTACCAAACTCATTATTTTCAGGTTGGTTTATTTATTTTTTGATGCTAGCTATCCTAATAGGTGTAAGGTGATATCCCATTGTGGTTTTGATTTGCATTTCTCTAACAATTAGTGATGTCGACCATCTTTTTATGTGCTTATTGACCATTTACATGTCTTCTTTGAAGAAATGTCTATTCAAATCCTTTGCCCATTCTCAAATTAGCTTGTTTGTCGGTTAGCTGTTGAGTTATGTATTTTGGATATTAACCCCTTATCGGATATATAATTCAAAAATATTTTCCCCTTACTTGCTTGCCCTTTCACCTTTTTGATTTTATCCTTTGATGCACAGAAGTTTTTAATTTTGATGAAGTCTAATTAATCTGTTTTTTCTTCTTTTTCACTTTTATTGTGGGTATGACAATCCAAGAAATCATTACCAACTCCAATGTTATGGCGATTTTCCCCTATACTTCCTTCTAAGAGCTTTATAGTTTTAGGTGTTTGGTGCATTTTGAGTTAATTTTATATATGGTGTAAGGCAAGGGTCCAAATTCTTTATTTTGCATGTGGATACCCAGTTTTCCCAAAACCATTTGTTAAAAAGTACAGACATTTTAAAAGGCCAGGATTTGGAGTAGAAGTAATTAATGGTGGGAGACTCAGTAGCTCTTGGAAGTGAGAGAGAGATACAGTATTTGGGGGAAACCAATGTCAGAGTCTAAACACCAAAAGATAGGTTGGAGGTTTCTCCTGGTGGGATGGAAAGAAGTGGGGAGGATCTCCCCTCCCCTCTTCATGCTTCAGGCATAGGCGGAATGTCTGGCCTTCAAAGATCTGTGCCTGTCTTGGCACAGAACTGTCCGTCTCTGGGACTCCCTGACTCGGACCCAGAGCGCAGCCCCGGAGCCACAGGTAGCCAGAGCTGCCTTGCCTTGGAAAACTTCTCTTCTGACCCTCTAAGTAAAACCAGAGAGAATCCTCTGTGGAGTGGAGAAGCAAACCAAGGCTAGAATAAAGTGAGCAAAACTGATGATCACTGAGGTTTAAGAGAGTGTCTTGGTATTGTATTCCTTGAAAAGCAAAAAATGAAAATCAGTATGTAAACATGGGTAATTAATGGTCAGTTACTATTTATACCATTATTTTAATTCTAAACCATTAATCAGGCGCTTGCCCTGGGCATGTTTTTTTCTCCAGCCCTCTCTGACAGCAGGGCCTGAGTATCCCAGCAGGGCCTCCTGTCCAGACCAGCAGCCCCGAGCGCATGGTGGCCACTCTACACACAGCAGGACTGGTGCTTAGGAGGGATTAACTAGGCCAGCTCTTCTTCGTAAATTCAACCATGCCTCAGTCATAGAAATTATACTCATTCAACTGAGGTACTAATGGTTGTAATGGTTACGACTTAATTGATAAGGACTTAAGGACAAAGGAGTGAATTTCTAATTATGAAATTTCAGGCACAGGCAGTAATGGGGAGCTATTTGGAACAATTCAAGGCCTTCCCAACGCTCCCCACCTGGCACAGCCTCTCATCTGCTCCACCTATGAGAATGTAGGCCCTGGTCTATGGTGATTCACAACAGTCAATATTGAACTAGCCCTTGACCAGCATCCACTCTATGCACAACTTAGAACTGAATGCTGGGGAGATTTTTTTAAGTGGGAAAAAAAAGACTTTTCCTGCAGAAAGTTGCAGTCTAGCTGGGGATTCTCCAAATATATGCAAAACAACTAGCAAATCATACACTCATTTCAAATAATATAGTTCAAACTACCCATAAATACTAAAGAACAAACTCATGTCAGTAGCTAATCAGAAAATAAAGCTAATGTCTCACAACCAGACTTAGTTTTTTAAACAAAAAGTAAAGTAGAGGATACTAGAGAATAGAATAGAATAGAATAGAATAGAATACAATACAATACAATACAATACAATACAATACAATACAATAGAAAATATGAGAACACAGCACTGGATTTTTTGTAAGAATTGTGAAAGTTGTCGAAAATACTGCATCCGATTTCTATAAAGAGAATAGAGAGCTAATGGAAGACTATGACGAATATCAGTCGACTATTACAAGTTATTCTATCTTATGCTAATAAACGCCTCATTTGATTTTTCTGGTGTACGGTGTGAATATGACATCACTATTACAGGACCATTAACAGAGTCTACAGTTTATATGAACATGATTTAGTTTCACTATAAAACCTTTTTCTACAAGGACCTTATCAAGTGGGATGTGTTTCAGGTTTGCCTCAGATATGCATTTATTCACATTAGCTTGAATTATCCTTTAATGGGGTGTCTCCTTCCTGTTAGAAAAGAGTGATGAAATAAAAACTAGAGGAACACCCAAGTTCAAGCTCCAGATATTTAGAACCGGAAACAGAGACAAGGCTGAGAAAAACATTTCCCCTAAGAGTAAACTTCACCTTCATTTAGAATGACATGCATTGTAAAAAGAGAGCGAGAGTGCCAGACTTCATAAAGCAGATTATCTAAAATATATTTTCTGTGTGTAAAATCCAACCAAAGTGACAAACTCTGCTATATTATTTGTAATGGCAACTTCAAAACTAATAGGACTCTTAGAGACACAGAATGCTGGACTTGTCAACAAGCCCCTCAAACATTTTTTAATGAACACAGACAAAGAAATTATTGGCACAATTTCTGAGCTGCTCTACAGAATGTTAATGAGATTTAGTTGCATGCGGTCTTGCAAAAGAGATATCTGTGGCCCACACAGATATTGACAAATGACTCTTCCAACATGAGAAGATATCACGCCAGCAAATTTTACATCTAAATCAGCTGATGCATTCAGACTTACAACTAGTCGTGGTCACATGTGCACCACTGCCGAACCTGCCAATGCCGTGATCCCCACATGGTGAAAGTCCAGCAGAGAGCTTGAGACCCGTCCCTGCAGAGCGCGGATGCTGGAAGTTACTCAACAATTCTAGTTCCTCCAGGGTGATGGCGGGGGTGAGTGGGGTTAAGCGCCTGGAGTGCGCACTTAACTTTGCATGCGCTTGATCAGATACACTGACAAAATTGGAAAACTGCCTCATTCGTGAATATCTATTAAACTAGAAACACAATGAAGGAATTATGAGTACTGGAGCCAGTCGGTATGGCTACAAAACACAGCAAAGCTATTAAAATATTGTTAAAATATATTAACACTTGCTCTTAGAAATCAGCCTCAATAGAAATTCTACTTGGCATCTCTAGAAGTAATTCTGCTGTATCTCATGAAGTGTTTAAAAAAAACGTGGCAAAGGTTGTTAAAGTTATTGAAGAGAGCTCATTGAATAGCCACAATATTCGTGTGTTTTGTTCAGAATGGAAGTAATCAGACCCTCCTGCCGAAGGTACTGGAGTTCGTGGATTGTCCTGAGGGCACCTAAGGAGGCGTATCAAGCAGGGTGAATGAACTCAGAAATGACAGCCACAATTTTTCTAACGATCTCACTTGTCAAGCAATCTCATTTTCAAAGATGACGTTTGGGATTTAAAATTAGTCTATTTGAGAATTTTCCTATGTTTCATTCTAGTATTAATAAAATGAATGAGTTA